ACCCTAACCTACACTTTGCAACTCAACTCTGAAAGTTTGTAGGAGTAAGGGTAAACAGGAAGTAGAGGACTAGTAGTCTACAGCTCAGCTTGGAGTCACACGGATAAGTCATAAAATTTTGACTGTGAAATTAGTCTTGAAATACCAGTGCCCAAGTGACTCTGTGGAGGATGAAAATACTATGCAGGACATCAAGTTATTTTTACAAGCAACTTTTCAAATATGATATTGGCATACAATTAAAGATAACCCCCCACACGCAAGGATATAAGATAAAGATTAGCTGAAGCAAAAGAAAAATAAAAAGACCCACAGGAGGGTTTCAGATTGGGATTTAAACAAGAACATAAAATAATAATAAGGCTATTCATGTTCAGGTAGATAAAAGACTGAAAATTTCAAGAAGACAACAGGAAACTGCAAGAGCGACAGATTTGCATATTTGCAATTAGAAATTTGAGAACTGAAAATACAATGGGCTAAGAATAACCAAGACACTCTTATAGAACAATAAGTAGGGAGAACTTGTTCTGATAAATATCAGAAACTATATATCAGGTATAGTGGTGAAGACTCTATACTAGCACAGGGAGAGAAAAGAAGAAACAAAAAAATTCAGAGATGTACACATTAATGGATATATGACTTTGGTGGCACTGCAAAAGAGAACATACTTTAGTAAATGGTGGTGAGGCACTTCACAGCTTACACAAAATTAACTCTTCATGAATTGAAAGCTGAAAACGTGAAAGACAAAGCTAAAGCCTTTAGAAGACAGTATATAGAGTACCTTCATGCCCTTGGATTGAGAACAATGTCTTAAGCAACTCCCAAAATACACTAACCTTAAAACAAAAACACTGATTCTTCTTAGTACTCAACCATTATGAAATTCTTTTTAGTAGATAACATCATAAAGAGAAGGAAAATATTTGGAAAGAAATAGCTAACAAAAAACAGGATTTATGAAGATCTTCTACAAATCAACGAGGAAAAAGACTGCTAACACAACAGAAAAATGGGCAAAATACTTGAAAAGATACTTTGCAAAAAAGCCAACAAACTTAGAAAAAGGTGCTCAATTGTTAGGGAAACGCAGAGTAAAACTTCAATGACATACAACTGCAAATTTTACCAGCTTGGCAATCTGTTTAACACGTGTTGAGCAAAAATGGAAATATAGGATATCTCTACTGCTAAGGCAAAACTCTGTTACTATCTAATAAAATTTAAGATGTAAACACCTATGATCAAACAATCATATACCTTAGTTGCACTAGGAAATACATATGATAATGTTCATTGAAGAACTATAATTGCCCCAAATTAAAAACATCCCAACTGTCCACAGTCAATATAATAAATTGTGGTATTAATGCAAAGGTAAATTCCATAACCATGTTAATTAACAAACTGTGGCCATAAGCTACAACATGGATGATTCCCAACCACAAAAAAAAAAAAAAAAAAAAAAAAAAAAAAAAAAAAAAGTCTGATTCCATTTATATAAAGCTCAAAACCCATCAAAAATAAACTATCTTGTTTAAGTGCATGATAGGTGGTTAACAATATAAGTAAAAACAAAGAATTATCACAAATGGTAGGATAATGGTAATTGCTGGGGGGTATGTGTAGGGAAGCTGATAGTGATTGAGAAGGGACTATCAGGGACATTTCTGGGCTGCTGTCAAATATGATTGATAGCTGATTATACAGGCACTCGCTTTATTTTTTAAATGTTTATTTTTGAGAGAGAGTGCATGTGTGCTTGAGAGTGGGGGAGGGGCAGAGAGAGAGGGAGACAATCTGAAGCAGGCTTTCTGCTGTTGGCCCAGGGCTGATGCAGGGCTTGAACTCACCAACCATGAGATCATGACTTGAGCTGAAGTCAGCCACTTAACTGACCGAGGCACCTATGTGCCTCAAGCACTCACTTTAAAATTAATCCTTAAACTGTGTACTTACATTCTATATATTCTTTTGTACGTATATTTGAATATGTATTTCTCAACTTAAACAAAGTTAAGAAATGCCAAGAGAAAAATGAACACTGAAAATTACCTATTGAATACTTACTCTGATCTCTAAGATTTCAACTTCCTGATTTGTTTTGAATTTGTTAAAATAGTTAAATCCATACCTAGTGACTGTATACAAAATGATTATTTATAATCACATGAATTTTTGTAATTTAAATTTTTCTTCCATCATGGAATTATTTGACATTTTTCCTTAAGTTCTCAAGAGAAAAATTTTGTTTTCATTTTTACTATTATTTAATAGTGGAGTTTAAACATTGCCGACCTTTTTGTGCTTCATCACTGGTACCACCGGAAAGTGTTACAATAGTTAAAACATAAAAACAAAGATATACATCTATTTCCAAATTCTAGCTTTGGGACCATTCAGAGGAAATTACTGAGTACCACAACTGTTTTGAACTTTAAAAAGGATTATACTTTGGGGCACCTGGGTGGGTGAGTCGGTTGAGCAGCCGACTTCAGCTCATTTCATGATCTCACAGTTTGTGAGTTCGAGCCCCATGTCCGGCTCTGTGCTGACAGCTCAGAGCCTGGAGCCTGCTTTGGATTCTGTGTCTCCCACTCTCTCTGACCCTCCCCTGTTTGTGCTCTCTCTCTCTCTCTCAAAAAATAAACATTAAAAAAAAATTTATTTTAAAAAGGACTATACTTTAGACAACTGCAACCAATAGTGTGAGATTTAACCAGATCTTCTAGGTTTTACATGGTTATTATTTTCCCCCAATTGTTTTAACAGAATTTCCAGAATCCAAAAGCACTTTGAGGTAATGTTCCTCTATACCCAGTGACTGTTGTATCTCCATGACTGCAAAACTTGAAAATTAGAAAACACCAAAGTAACACCACTCATAAAACGAATAGCAAAACTGGAATCTCTGGAGTCAACCATGGAACAAGATTTACAAAGATACTGTCAAATATCTTAATTTATTTTTAATAAGTAAAAAATGACTCAGTGGTATCATACAAAATCAAATAATTTTTGCACCTGGTATTTTAATCACCCAAAGTGATCTCATGGTACAGAGATAAAACAGATAATAGAAAAAAAAAAAAAAAAACACCAAAACCCTGTCATTAATTTCACCGTGGCTTTCCCACTTAGAACTAAATAGAAATTAATGGCAATAACCATTACCTACAGGGGGAAAAATGATGAAATGATTTCAGGTTTAATCATAAAATGAACTTAATCCTGTTGGTTTTGTTTGTATCTATTAAAGCACTAATTACTATAAATAAAAGCTGATAGCATGGTTCCAAATTTACTTCTGAAGAGATGTGGAGATTTAGATAAAATATAAGCATATCTATCATACAAAGGAAATTGAAAGTGGGGAAGAGGCCTTTTATTATTGCTAGCCTCAAGAATTCCAAGCCATAGAGCTCTGATGTTCCTGAATTCAACTTTAAGAAATTAATTTTAAACATTATACTTGAACAAAAATTGCTTATTTCAAAGGTATCCATTTCCTTTAAACTCAACCTGTCCACTTATCCTTGCCTCCAGTACAGAATATACTTTTATTCATACAAACTTACCCTCCACTCCCAAATATGTTTTCCCAACTGGATGATACTTTTACAAAAGAATAAAGCAATACAGGTGGTTGACAAAGTAATTTCAACTATTTATAAATGAAATAAAAGGAAAGTTAAGTAGAGAGTATAAAAAGATACCAAAGAGGAGTAATACTGATGTGAATCTAGTCTTTAGTTTATCAAAGTACTTATTAATGATCTGAACAGGAGATCAGAAGAGAAGCAGCTAGAGGGAAATGACTTCCTGTGGTTATAAAATGCCAACTGCTTTAGAATGCATGATAGCTTTAGAAATAAAAAAAAAAACACTTGCTGTTTTTACCAAGTTTACAGCGAGAGTACATTTTATGTCATTTTAATGAAAGAATTTATAATGATTATCTGCAATATCTCCTATCAGAAAACAGAAAGATTCTATCAACAAAGACCTAAAAAAATAAATTTTTATCTTTGTCAACACCCTTTCTGGGAATGCAGAATAAAATATGTTTCCCTTTAAAATAAAATATTTTTTTCTGTCCATTAGGTTGTTGGAAGAAAAAAAAAATCAAGACTCAACTAGTAATGATTTTTTTTTAATTTCTAGTTTTCATCTACTTCTAAGGATACTCCCTTTACAAGACCTTTTAGTCTTCTATACTATGACAGTCAGGTTTAGAGTTCCAAATAAATAAAATAGCCACATTAGAAGGCATACTGAAGAATCAAAGGATTAGCTGCATTTATCTATTCACATTTAATCCAAGTTAACATTTGTCATCCGACCTACTGCTCATGGGTTACAACACTGATGTTATCAACAAAGATCCTGATTTTTGCGAGACAGTGATATTAACAAACTCTGGTTAAATTAGCAGAGGTTCAGGACAGTAAACTGTACCTGTACAATTTAAAATGTCTACTCTTCATCCACTGCTACCATCTCTCCTCTTCCCACTGGTGTTAAACTCAAAGCCTAATTATGAGAGGTGCAGGGTGCCAAACACTATTTGTATGGAAAAACTGGGCCTCAAATAGTGCACAAAAAGAAACTCATAAAATAAGATTAAACTTCTTGGATATTTGCATTTGTTACTTTCAATTTCTTGATCTTTTATCTCTTCTGGTGATGTATACATACATTTTTTTCTTCTTCTCATCCAGAGGTTAACACACTAATTTTTTGTAAGCATTATAAAATAGCAGTCCAGTTCAAAATTGCTTGTGATCATATCCACATATGAAGCACTAGACAAGTATATATTATATTCCAAAATGCTTTACAATTCTTCACTGTAGTTTTCTACGACGTTTCCCTTAAATTAAGGCTTCATCAAAGAGAAATCCATAATACTATGGGTTAATATTTTCATTCCTGAATTAAGTGCAATCTTTTCAAAATCAAGTAGTCCTGGAGTAAATTTAAGAGAGCTTCTGTTAATCAGTGTCATGACTAAAGTAGTATCTCACTGGAGGTCCAGGCAAATCTTCATCTCCATCAGTGTCTGGAGCAAATGACACAGTAAGATCTACATATTTCTTTTCAGTAGAAGGTTTCACAAGTTTATGCATTCTAAGAAAAATAATCAAGGACAAATGATTTAGTAAATTCTATAAAATGAAGAGTGATTTGCTGTTTAATGTTGCCCAGAGAATCTGGACTTATGTCTAGACTTTACATTTATTTTTAAATCTAAGAATTCATCTGCTTTCATATATTATAATTTTTCTTTACTAAAAGCACTAAACTCAAGATATTCATCTACCTAACAGTGAATCAATTTGGAACACTGCTAGTACTGATAAAGAATAGGTACCATTTGTTACAAGACAAAACAAACAAACAAAAAACCCCACACACAAAACCAAAATGTAAACAATGTTTTTAAAAATGAATTATCCTCCAGCGCCTGGGTGGGTCAGTCGGTTAAGCATCCGACTTCGGCTCAGGTCATGATCTCACTGTTTCCAAGTTTGAGCCCCGCATTGGGCTCTGTGCTAACAGCTCAGAGCCTGGAGCCTGCTTCAGATTCTGTGTCTCCTTCTCTTTCTAGCCCTCCCCTGCTCACACTCTGTCTCCCTCTCTCCCTCTCTCAAAAATAAATAAACATTAAGAAAAATGAATTATCCTCATACTCCCTTATAGAGTGTGGAGGCATCAAAAATTCTTCTCAAGCATTTCTCAGTGAAAAGTAAAAAGCAAACCAGATTTAAATCTTCAAATACAAGCTAATCACCGTGAAAGACATTCTTAAGTTTTACCTTTGTCTTATATCCCATGTATATCCCATTCACTAAAAAAACTTTTTTATTGCTATTGTCACTGATACTGTCTTAAATCAAATCATCATCTATATATCCTCAGATTACTGGATTAGCTTCGAGCCAGCTGTCTCCTACCTCCAATCTCCGCTGTTGCCAGAATCCTCTTAAAACGTAAATTTGATTTTACTCTCTTGCTTAATAATATACTTATACCATGTATCTATCTCACGCTAAACTCTCAACTATGTAATCTATTTAATCCTCAATAATAGTTCTTTCCATTTTACAAAGGTATTTTGTCCCATTTATACCTTCTCATTCTTACCATCTCATCCTTGAGTCAATCCAGGATACTGATTTCCCAAATAGATCATGCACACTTTTTATTAGCTGCATGCTTTTGCAAAAGCTATCACTTTTGCCTGATATCCTTTTTCAAAGGTAGTTCAAATGAAATCTAGCCTAAGGTGAAGTTTTAAGTAGTGCCTACAGTATTCTGTAAAAATCTTTATTATACTGATTATCCAATTACATTTTAATGACTAACATGTCATTTTCTCACAGTAGAATGGGAATTCCCTGAGGGTACAGGCTACTTGATAAAGAGGTATAATGACAAAATATTAACAGGAGTAACATTTATGGAATAGTTCTTGGTTGCTATTACATTGCTAGTCTTTACTATTATTTCAATGTTTAATAGCTATAGGCACAATCATTTCCATTTATGGATCAAGAACTAAGTTTCAAAAAAGTTCAGTAAGCTCCTCAATGTGACAAAACAAGTAAGTAGCTGGGGATGGATGTGAACCCAGATCTTTCCAAAGCCAAGCTTATCTAGCCACTTGATAGGTACTTAGTACTTATCTGCTAAATGAAAACTGTAATAAAATGAAAAATAACATTCACAAAGTTTATCATGCTGGAGATGGCGAATACTGGCCAACTCTATAAAGCACTTATTGTGAATTATTTGCAGCAAATTTTAAATTCCACACATTCTACTCTCATCTAGGCAGCACACAGTAAATTCTATTATTCACATATCCAAGAGATACTCAGGGATTCTAATGACAAAATAATATAAGGCAAAATAACCTTTCTCTATGTAATAGTGATTTTGTTTCTTAAAGTACAGATCATTAAGCCTGGATTATAATAACTAAAAAGTGATTAATCTCATTAATTGGTGATTATAATTAAAACTGCATATAGGTTAAAGCACCTATCATGCAGATTCATTTATTCATATGACAAATCTTTTTATGCTAATTTTTATTAAAAAACCAAACATTTTTAATTAAGGTATAATTCATATAACATTGCATTAGTTCCAGGTGTACAACACAATTGTTTGATATTTGAATATATTACAAAATAAATGACAAATATTTATTGCTTCCAGGCATTGTTGTAGGTCCTTGAGATACATCCACGACCAGATCAATTATAGAGTCCTGCATCTGTGAAGGTTACATTCTAGTGGGTAGGAGGCAGAGAAGCATAAACATATTTAAACAGGGTTCAGGGAGGCCTCTTTGGAATAATTAGAGCAAAAGTCCCATGCAGGAGCATGACTGGACTATTCAAAAAAATAGCTGGAAGCTAGCACAACTGGAATATTGTGAGCAAGTGAGACAAATAGGAATAAAACTTAGAGTGGTAATTGAGAAGCAGGGCCTTGCAGACCATTGCTGAGACTGGCCTTTTTTGTTCCCTCTGTTCCTTTAGGTCTTTGCTCAAATGCCGCCGTATCTGGTGAGAATGTGACAGGCAGAGGGAATACTTGAACTACTCAACATACCACAGCAACTTAACACTCCTTATTCTGCTTTATTTTCTTCACAGTGCTTATCACCATCTGATATACTTATCAAGAGGTTTGCATACTTTGTTATGCAAACTCAATTAGGGCATGGACTTCACTTTGCTCACTGCTGTATCCCTACTGCCCACAAAATACCTGGCACACAGCAGGCACTCTTCAAAAAAATCTGTTGAGTGAATGAAAGTAACAATTTGGCATTTTTGTTTTATACTTCAGTCTCATAAGCCTGGTCATTATGTGTTTCTACTTTTATGTGGTGTATTAACCAAATCGTGTTTCTAAGCTTATTAACTTATAAACTGAATCTGAACTACAAAAAATTCACAAGGATATGTGAATCCTATGAATCTCTCTTGAGAGGTAGCCTGTTGAGTTTGGTACATTTACTATCTTTATTACAGCCATTACACAGGAGTAAATCACATACTTTTTTCTCAACTTTGATAATCTCTATATTTGATTTTCCAGTGGGCATCCACCTTATGTTTTAATTGTTGTGAATCTTCTGGTATAATGGTCATTACTTACGTTAACTTCAATCTTTTTGCATGACCAGGCATTACAGGGACATAAAGCATTTTGACTCCCTGCACCACCATCGTTGGTTCAATTCCGTACTTCTCCTAAATGTGAAGAATACCCAAAAGAGAAACAATAAGAGCTATGTCCAAATATAAAAAGCTGGGTGACAATGTTTTACAATCAGTAAAAGGACAGCAAACAAACTTCTGCTAAATATTATTCATGAAAACCTCCAACTAATGAACTAAGTAAATAAGTGTCTCACTTTGACTGCATTTATGAAATCCAAGAGGGTGAAGTCTTCTTTTCCATGTACAGTCCATCTGTCCCAAATTGTAAATGATATTCCATTTCTGTTGTAGAAAAATATTAAAAACAAAACATCTTAATTTTTTTCCCTTTAGTAATAATAAAAAAATCCAGAAGTCCATTATTTGTGATTTAGCTACATAATGATATAGGGGAAAAAGAAAAATACAACTTATCACCCCAAGACACCACACAAGGTAACCGCTTTTTTTTTTTAAGTTTATTTATTTATTTTAAGGGGGTGGGGAGAGGAAGGGCAGAGACAGGGGAAGAGAGAATCCCAAGCAGGCTCCACACTGTCAGTGCAGAGCCTGATGAGGGGCTCGAACTCACGAGTTGCCAGATCATGACCTGAGCTGAAATCAACAGTCAGATGCTTAACTGAGTCACCCAGGCGCCCTCAAGGTAACCACTGTTATCAGTACCTTGTTGATCCTTCCAGTGTCTCATAATGAATCTATGTGTCTTAGTGAAACCATTCTCTCTCTCTCTAAATGGCTGCATGGGTTTCCTGTGTGGATGTTCTAGTCTATCACTGTTTCAATCTTTGGCTATGATAAACAAGGCCAGAATAAATATCTTATAAATGTACTATTTGAGATGAGTGCAAATGTATCTGTAAATTTGACATATAGCACATTTCCCTTACTATGGATTACACTATTTTATACTCTCATCGGTAATATGTGAGGAGAGGGCTTTCACATTCTTGCCGAGATAGATGTTTTCAAATTTTTGGTTTTTGTTAATTTGAAAGTGAAAAATGGAGGTCCAGGGGAATTGTTCTGCTCTGTCACATAGTTTTTAGAACTAGATACTAAATCTCATGACATATTATTCAGACACCACAGTGGCTTCTAACTCACCTGAATTAGGAAAACATAGATGAAACAATAAGAAAGTACAATGCTAAATAATGTGGTAGATTAAATGTTGTGAGAGTTCTATGGCTAGTTTAGTCATAGATGCTTTGCATAAAGCAAAAGAATAAAATTGGACCACTATCTTACAACACACAAAAGTTAACTCAAGGATGACTGGCTGACTCAGTGTGGTAAAAGATGTGACTCTTGATCTCAGGATTGTAAGTCTGACCCCCATTAACTCAAAATGGATTAAATACCCGAATGTAAGACCTGCAACCATAAAACTCGAAAAAAACACAGTAGTTAGCTTCTTGCATCAGTCTTGGTGATAGTATTTTGGATTTTATTACTAAAGCAAAAGCAGAGAAATGGGACTACATCAAACTAAAAATCTTCTGCACAGCAAAGAAAACCATCAACAAAATGAAAAGGCAATCTACTGAATGGAAACAAATATTTGCAAATGATGTATCTGATAAGGGGTGAATATCCAAAATACGTAAAGAACCATACAACTCAATAGCAAAAAACCAAACTATCTGATAAAAAAATGGGTAGACGATCTGAATAGACACTTTCCCAAAAAAGACATACAGATGGCCAATAGGTACACGAAAAGGTGCTCAACACCACTAAGTATCAGGGAACTGCAAATCAAAAAAACCCATAATGAGGTATTATTTCACACCTGCTAGGAAGGCTAGTATCAAAGAGTTAAGAAATAACAAGTGTTGACAGGATGTGGAGAAAAAGAAACCCTTGTGCCCTGTTGGTGGGAATGGAAACTTGTGCAGCCACTCTGGAGAACAGTATGAAAGTTCCTCAAAATATTAAAAATAGAACTACCATATGATCCAGAAATTCAAACTTCTGGGTTTTTATACAAAAAAAAATGAAAACAACTCCAAAACTTATCAGCACCTCCATGTTCACTAAAACAATATTCATAACAGCTAAGATATAGAAACAACCTAAGTCCATCAATGGGTGAATGGATAAAGAAAATGTGACACACACACAGGAACAGAATTCAGCCATAAAAAAAAAATTGTGTCATTTGCAACAACATGGATAGATCTCGAGGACATTATGCTAAGTGAATAAGTCAGACAGAGAAAGACAAATACCTGTATGATCTTACTTATATGTGGAACCTTAAAAGAAAAACAAAACAAAACCCAAACTGAGCTCATAGATAGACAACAGACTGGTAGTCGCCGGAGGTGGGGGATGAGCAAAATGGGCAAAGGGAGTCCAAAGGTACAAGCTTCCAGCTTTAAGATGAGTTAGTCATAGGTATGTAATGTACAGCATGGTGCTTACAGTTAACTATACTGTCTAGTTGAAAGTTGCTAAAAGTAGATCTTAAAAGACTGTATCACAAGGAAAACAAATTTGCTAAATACATATGGTGATGATGTTGACTAAACTTGTTGTGGTTTATTTATTTATTATTATTTTATTTTAGAGAAAGCATATGGTGGGGAGAGGAGAAGGAAGGAGAGAGAAAGCAGCTGAGGAGAATGAGAGGAAAGAGGAGGGAGAAAGAGGAGGAGATGAGGGGAAAAGAGAGGAGGGGGGGAAAAGCAGCTGTGAGGAGAGAAAAAAAAAAAAAAAAAAAAAAAAAAAAAAAAAAAAAAAAAAAAAAAAAAAAAGGAGAAGGCATATCTTAGGCAGGTTCTATGCTCAGCGAGAGCCCAAGGTGGGGCTCTATCCCATGACCCTGGGATCATGAACTGAGCTAAAATCAAGAGTCAGATGCTCAACTCACTGAGCCACCCAGGTGCGCCTGTGATCATTTCTTAATACATACAGGTGTCAAATCACTGTGTTGCACACTTGGAACTAATCTAATGCACGCCAATTTATGTCTCAATTGAAAAAAAAAGAAATGCTTTATGAAGATGACATTTTGACTTTTTTGATTTTGTTTTTAAAGAGAGAGACAGAGAACATGGGTGGGAGAGGGGCAGAGGAAGAGGGAGAGAGAATCTTAAGCAGGCTTCACTTGGGGCTTGATCTCACAACATGCCCTGAGCCAAAATCAAGAGTTGGACATTTAACTGACTGAGCCAACCAGGCACCCTACTGATCTAATCCTGAGGTGATGGCAAGGATTTAAATATATAGAAGAGGGGCGCCTGGGTGGCGCAGTCGGTTGAGCGTCCGACTTCAGCCAGGTCACGATCTCGCGGTCCATGAGTTCGAGCCCCGCGTCAGGCTCTGGGCTGATGGCTCAGAGCCTGGAGCCTGTTTCCAATTCTGTGTCTCCCTCTCTCTCTGCCCCTCCCCCGTTCATGCTCTGTCTCTCTCTGTCCCAAAAATAAATAAACGTTGAAAAAAAAAATTAAAAAAAAAATATATAGAAGAAAAGGGAGGAAAAACTATGACTTTTTCATTTTAGAAGGTAAAAATTTTATTTCATTCTAATTATGCAAGAGAAATAGACCTTCAAGCATACCTGATTTCAGTTCTTCTTACTTCAGATGTCTCTGTAAACACTATAATTGGAATGGCTAAGTTAAGGAAACAATTTTTGTAAGCTTCAAACGGATAGTCACCAGCTACTTTGATCATCTCCAATGCAACCTAGAAAAAAGAAAGTGATCCGATTATATAAAGAGCCTAAAACTTTATGACTTCAAATGTATTTATTTAATTTTCCAATATTCCTCTCAAGCATTTTTCTGTAACAAGTAAAAGCAGCTACTGGACTGAAATAGCAAACTTCTTATAAGTCTACTTTTATTCTTATACTTTCAAAATTTCAACTGTTCTATACATGGTGAACAAAATCATTAAAAAATTCACTTGATCATGTAATATTCCTATCATGGAAGACACTCAAACTCAAGAAATACACTAGTCTAAAGTCATTTAATAAAGGGGCAGATAATTATGTAGCTTCTAAGTATAACACTGTAGTACAGCATAATGACTAGGGCCACCCTAAAGATTCTGAATTATTAAGGAAAGATTAAATTTTAAGAAATCTGAATAACAGGAATTGCGTTTTTTTTTTTAAGGCAAAGAACTGAACTCCAATATAATCAAAGAGCAACCATTAAAGCAGTTCATTTTATTCAAGAAAAAGAGTACCTGTTTCATATGGAGGATACAAGAATGCAAAAGGATTATTGTAAGAAAAATTATACTGTTTTGACAAAAGGTAATTTTTTTAATGTTATTTTTGAGACAGAGAGCGCAAGCAGGGGAGAGGCAGAGAGAGAGAGAGACAGAGAGAGAGAGGAAGGGAGGGAGACACAGAATCCAAAGCAGGCCCCAGGCTCCACACTGTCAGCACAGAGCCCGACACGGGGCTTAATCTCATGAACTGTGAGATCATGACCTGAGCTGAAGTTGGATGTTTAACCGACTGAGCCACCTAGGTGCCCTGAAAAAGGTTAACTTTTATGTTAAAATGTTTGTATATTTGTTAACCTTCAAAATGTGGTCTAACGTATTTTTAGAAATATCTTGAAATTTAAAATTATAAGATCAATATATATCCCTTCTTCTCTAAGATCTGAGTGACTGGCTAGGGTGGTATAATGGAGAAGACAGGTTAAGAGGCAATGAAAAAGAAGCATTTCCATTCAAAGAATAAACTCACCAGGCCAGAAACTGCAGCAGTGGATGTTGCTATAGCAGGTATAATTTTACCAGCTATGCGCTTTGTTTTGAAACGGTCAGCTGGTTCAATGTTATACATTTTGGCACGAAGATTTGATGCAGCTGTGATGAAATCTATGTGTCCATTGTGATCATCATCTTTCTCAAATGAAAGCACTGCCATCTGAAGGTCACCTAATCATAACACCAGAAAAATAAAGTTTTGTAGTAACTTGTAAGGGTTTTTATTATTTATTTATTTTGAGAGAGAGCAAGCGAGCATGAGTGCAAGAGGTTCAGACAGAGGGAGGGAGAGAATCCCAAGCAGGTTCCATGCTCACAGCATGGAGAGATCCCATGAGCCATGAGATTATGACCTGAGTCAAAACCAAAGTTGGATGTTAAACCGACTATACTACCCAGGCGTCCCCTGTAAAGGTTTTATTAGGTAAAAAGAAATGTGGATTCACTACTCTTAAATATTCCTTCTTTATGTTTTTAAATGACTGAAAAACACAAGTAAGATCTAGGAAATTAAAGTTACTGAAGAATATGGAAATGATATGGTACATGGCTTTGATTATCACTAAATCAGAGAAGTTTCTATACTAAAAAAACCTTTCTAAGAGACAGAAAATAAGAAAGCCATGTACCACATCTGCTGTTGCTTATGATTAAAACAGTTAACATTGGGTACTATTCAAAAATTGATTCCATAAATATTACCCTGAAACATTTTGCCTCTGATAACTAAGAATAGGATTAGTTAATCCAATAAAAATATGTATCTGAAATATTTCTACATTAGTGGTTCTCAAAAATCATTCTATAGATAGGTGTAGTTTGATATGTTACGAAATGAGAAAGTAAGAAATGGAAGTAAGTTTTCTTCCAGAATTGTAATTACTAAATTAACACATCTATATTTTATTTGCAGGATAAATAGGTGGCTAGCCTAGGATGTTTTTTTTCCCCTGAATTTTACTGTCTGTGCACAACAATCCTGAAAGTTTGGCAACTACTGATTATGTAAATAAAAGATGGTGAGCAGGTCTAAAATCCATGAGCGAATGACTGTTTTTAAGGAATAAAAGTTTGGTTTCTTTCTGTTTAAAACCATTTAGGTCAGATTGTATGTATTCCCTGTGTGTAACTATAAAGACTAAAAAGCCAAGAAGAAATCTGTCTATAGTTTTTTATTCTAGTGACTTAACTGGGTCTAAGTGTTAGTCTATATAGAACTCCATGCTGACCGTGCAGAGCCTGCTTGGGATTCCCTCTGCCTCTCTCTCTGCCGTTCTCTCACTTGTGCACACAAGCTATCTCTCAAAAATAAATAAACATTAAAAAAAGAATCACACAGTACAACCTCAAGGACTAAAACAATCAGAACAATGACAATAAAGCAGACTTACAATTCAGCAAATGAGGGTAGGGCAATGGTGAAAAAAATAATGAATTTAGTCACAGTTAAAGATCAACAGTGACTTTCATATGATCACGAATTCAATTATCATCGTTAATATTGTAGCTATTATTTAGTCCCATAAGCTTTTGGGTGTAGAGTTAGTGAAAATAAAAATTCTTTCCAGTCCAAACCATTTTTATAAAGATTTCCCCTTACTTGTGGTGGCTTTATTAGATGAAATAGCCTTCTCTAGCTGGAAAATAGCGTTCCTCTCATCTTCACTGCTAATAGGAACCTGCTCCGGTTTCCTTGCAGTCTCATCTGTTTGAACAACCTTTAAATACATGGACATACATTATCATTAATGTTATCATATCCTATATCTAAGTTTGATTACCAGATCTGTTTTACTAAACAGATCACACACAGAGGATATTCCCTCTGTATAGTTTAGTCACATTATTAATTATTATGGTCCAATGTATTTTACACCGTCTGTTAGTAAATAATATTATTTATGTATTTGTTTTACTATCTATCTGCTCACATTGACATGTAAACAGGGAACAGGGATCTTTATGCTGTTCACAGAGAGAACTTCAAAATATCTAATACAAATTTGGTAGTGTTAAAATATTTACTGAATAGCTTATAAGATCTGAGCTCATATGGATCCCTTTTAAAATTTCCCGGCAAAATAAAGTTAATATTAATCAACAGTCTGTGATTCTGACAAATCTACTTGAAACCAAATTGCATAGCTCTAACTAGTGCAGAGCTGTTTTCTGTCTCTAAATAAATCATAAAATATATAAAATGGGCCTCTTTAAATATTTATTGATTGCTGACAAGAGGTTCTTTCCTAACGAACATGTCTTCCTTCATATAGGTGCATGCTCAGAGCAGCACTTGCAAGTAATTTATCTTTAAGAAATTACTAATTAGACATTCCACAAGGGCAGTAAAGTTCGTATTTTCAAACTAAAAAACCATCTACATCATCACTAATTAAAAATACTATTTCTTTGTATTTTATACATTCAACTTGTGTTTTTACAGATTAAATATTATTGTAAGTATTTAGGAAATATTAAAGAGTTAAGGAGGCAGAAACTTATATTTGTCAGAGTAAGTATTTTGATATTTTTGGCATCTGTTAACTAGAAGTGCCAGACTCTGAAGTTTCAGTGTGAGTTGCTTCAAGAAGTTGTGAAAAGCTCATTAATTCATGTTAAAACTAAAACTGTATGTAGCTAAATTGCTCAGGACAATTTATTACACCAAAACTCTGGTATAGAAAGAAGCAACTGAAGCCACAAAACACTGCAGAGCTATTAACACCAGAAAAGTTATTGAAACATAATTCTTTTGGCTTCTGACTAGCAGCTCTGTCCACTAGGAATGCGGGCTAGGAACCTTCTTTTTGTTTAAAAAATTTTTTTTTTATTTGAATATAGTTGAGACATAATGTTACATTACTTTCAGGTGTACAACATGGTGATTCAACTTCTCCATAAGTTATGCTGTGCTCACAAGTGTTGCTACCATCTGTTACAACAGAACGCTATTACAGTATTGTGGACTATCTTCCCCATGCTGTACCTTTTATTCCCTTGACTTATTAATTCCATAACCAGAAGCTTCTTTATATAGGAATTCTGTTTACCTCCCTGTTCTTTTATTCTTGATAAACTACAAGTTATGAACATTTCATTCAGCAAACCCATTTACTGTACAAAATCAAACAGCTGTAAGTTTTCCTTTTCTCTAAAATAAAAATGCAGACTAGAAGACTGCACACACCATTTCCTATTTGAATTTTATGGGGAGGAAATCATGATTCCCTATTTTCCAATATAGCTAGGGGGTAAGGGGAACAAAAGACTGTTTTGTGGATGATTTTTAGAGTATATACAAAAAGTCATACAATGACTATGTGAAAAATACTTAGGCAACTAAATGCCTTTTTTCCCCAGCCACATTGAATGTAATACATTAAGTGGACTAACATTAAGTGCATCCTCAGCGCTGTTTCAAAATTCTACTCAAAATTCTCTGACTTTCCCATCGCCCTGAACAATTATTTAACACCTTTTTTCCTCTGCTCAAACTTCCTTAAACTTCTTCTCCTTACCTGGAGCTATTAATTGTGCTTCTTATTTCAATTAAAAAAATAAACAATCTTTTTTTCCTCTTACACTCTAATTCCAATCCCTTTCAAATCCTGTCAGAGCTACTACAAAATATACCAGAATCCAGAATCTTATTGTAACTTACTTGTTACCGACTACTTCATCAAACCACCATCATCTTTTGCCTATATCCTCCTAATAGCTTTACATGTTTCCTTTCTCATGTCCCATACAATCATTCTTAACACAACAGGCAGAGTCAGCCTTTTAAATATAAGCCAGATTGCGTCCTCTGCTTAAAATCTTCCACTGGCTTATCTCCTAATAAATCATGAAGTACTTATCATAACCCCAAGTATCTCTCATATCTGTCTACCAATCTTCTTGAATATTCTCTTTCAGAAAAATCCTGGCTTTCAAATCTTTTAAGGCCTTTCTCTGAACTTGTTCCTGCTTATGTGCATTATTCTTTCAACACGTAATAGCATGGCTCACTCTATCGCTTCCTTCAGGTTTCTGCCCAAATGTTACCATATCACAGACGCTTTCCCCTTTTATCCCACATAAAATGAAACCAGTTTCATCATCTTTTATTTCTTTTCCTTGTTTTATTTTTGGTTCTTAGCACTAAGTCCTATTGTAATATTATGTAATAGCATTTTTTTTTAACAGTCTGCCTCTGGTCCATTAGATGCTATAACATCCATAACAACAAGAATTTTGTTTTGTTTACTATGGGATTCTCCAGGTTGAGAATGGGACTTGACACTAGTAAAATTTCAATAACTATTTGCTGAGTGAATAAATTTCTAAACATACCTTGTTGGAAGGTTTGAATTCTTGAATCTTTACTTCAGAAAGAATATTCAAGAGGGCATCTGCTGATAAGTCCTGTTTTGTTAAAAAGTAATTTTATCAACAAACATTTTTAAAAATTCTGAATTCTAAAAAATTCTGGACTAATAAGGTCCTTTATCATACTAAAATATTTGAGTAATTTATCATCTGACTATTTAGACCACATCTATTTGTGACATTTACCTTTATTCTATAGAAATATCATCCATAAAGGCTGGGGGGGGGGCAGGGGTGGTATGGGTGAAAAATTGCTTATTAGTCAACAAACCTGAAATCTTAGTTCTTTCCATTCATTTTAAAAAGGTAATTTTGGGACTGGTTGTATCAGACTGAGTGCTCTGAGGTCAGAGACTATCTCATCATTGTTTTATAAAGTTCCCTGCACAAAGTTATACTCAAAAAATGTTGACTCAATAAAATAAATAAATAAATGGAATTCATACCTTTGGAAGCAGAAAAATATTTAAATGGTTCAAGATGAATGTAGGTGATGCAATTAGCTGCTAGGTCATCTAATTTTTACCTGGTTTTCTATCACTTGCTAGAGCTTGAAGGTTATCTTACCTCTTCTGTAAATGGAATGCAATAGACTGCAGCATACAGTTTTGCAGCATTCAGAAGAAAACTGAAGTGCCTTTTGAAATACAAAATAAAGCAAAGTGTGAATGCACAGTTTTAAAGGTGTTTAATTCATCAAAAACTATAGTCTTTTGAAATGTTGAAGAAAATAATCACAGAACTTTTGTTACAGGAATATTTAAAAGTTAGGCAATGAAGTCCTGGTCTAGACCAAAGCATTTCAGAAGCCATAAGAAACATTAACTATTTATCCTCATAAGTAGTAATATTCAGGAGAGGAGGGGCAAAAAGTAGAAAAATTAGACTAGTGAAAGAAAATTCACTTTAATTCATAAAAAAATTAGAAATTTGGTTTTAAAGAGCATACATTAGGCTCAACTTAAGCAAGTGACTTTGGTAAAAACAAAGGTAAGTTTTACAGGAGAAGCAGTCAGGATAAGGTGACTAGAAGCCTAACATAAGCACCAGATGAGGAAATTAAATGGAGTTACTTGTTGAAAGGAAGGTTAGCAGGCTCAATGTTTAACATATAACTTAAGTTTTTTAAAATTTGGCTTCATATAATAGGAAAACATTTGTTGTCATTTCTTGTTTTTTTTCTTATGGATAAAGTCAAAGAGGTAACACTTCGGATCCACTTTACAGAAGATAAAAATAAAGAAGTTATTTTACCATGTAAATAAATAGATTCACGTATGTGGGGGAGAAGGGCTGTGGCTGGCTTTGTTGGCCAGACTAATGAGCTAACTCTTAGATTAACAGGATGCACTTATTTAACACTTAAATAGCCTGAAGTTTCACCCTGCCATGTAAAACTATACTCAGTCAAGAAATTTACAACAAAGGATGCATACAAAGCTGGATATAAATACTTACAAAGGTTCATTTAAATCAAATTTTATTGGAGATGGAGGCCTCTTTGGTGATTGCCAAAACAAACCTAAAACAAGACACAAATATTATTTTCATTGTATTTATCCAGTAATAAATTATATTAATTGTTCTTCTCAACACTTGGTTACACTTACTGCCATCTTTTAATCGTGTGTCTAGAGGAAAGCAGTGAAGAAGCTGAAGAGCCTAAAGAAAAAAAATCAATTAAAAAAATCATTACTTAACATTATCTGAGGTAAAAAAAAAAAAAAAAAAAAATCTCAACACACAAAAAGATATACAGTGAAGTTTCCAGCCACTCTTATACTCCCTCTGTCCATTGTCTTGTCATGGCCCTCTATACCTGGAATAACTTCTATTGCTATTTTTTTTTTTAATCAATACTTACAGTTTTTTTTTTCTTTGCATCCACAACAAACATGAATATACATTACTCCTTTTTTTTTAAAGTAGGTTTCATTACAAAGCCCATCTTGGGACTTGAACTCATGACTCTGACATCAAGACTTGAACAGAGATCAGGAGTCGGACGTTTAACTGACTGAGCTACCCAGGTACCTGTATTTTATACCTTTTTACACAAAAGGCATATTTTACATACCATTATGCTCCTTTCAAAGAGCTAATCCTTAAAGTAAGAATTAAACCGGTAAAAATATACAGCATTTTGTATTTAAAAATGATAAATGACGTTTGAGATTTGCTTCAAAACCATCTGGGGAGGTATAAAGATGAAACAAGATTATCTACAAATTGATACAAAATTAACAAAATTTGTTAAACCTGGGTGACAGATTCATGAAGTTTACATTATACCTTTTTTTCTACTTTCTACAGTAGAATTTTTCCAGAAAAAAGCTTTAAAAAAGTACAAAAGATAATCAGGACTAAAAAGAGTTCTTCAGATTTTGAGACAAGAGGTCATTGATTATAATGGTAAAAGTAATTTGAATAGGAGTGGGGAAAGAAGACATGTTAACTGGAAGAGGAAGTAGCAACACTAAGTATAAGACCCCTTTTCTAAGTAGCAAAGAAGGAAGGGAAAGGCAAAGGATAAATGTAATCAAAAGACTTTTTTAAAAAAGATTACCTTACTTTATATTCTGACAGGTATGAGCCTGAAGACAGGGAGAGGCTCAGGAGAGAGGGCAGGACACATTCTAGCAAGTGCAAGTAATAGGGGATGGGAATAACAGCTAATAGTGAGCATTTCTGGGCTAGGTTCTACTCAAAATGCTTCGCAGGTATTAACTCATTTGATCCTCACACTACCATATGAATTACACACCAATTTAATATCCCCATCTTACAAATGAGGAAAGAAACACCAAACAGACATAAAATGTGATTTTGAATATGGATGGGCAAGGCGAAATTCAACACAATTTCTGACTGAATCTATTTTCTCAATTTCTTGCTTTATTCTGAACAACAAACTTCTTTTAGACTACTAATAAAATGTATTCCTTATTTTCTAAAAGAACCTGTATCTGAAATCCAATATTGCACACAGAAGGATAAGGATCAGTTAAATGCAGAACTGACAAACCAATGGATGGAGTTTAAGTGTATTCTTTTAACACTCAAAGAGAAATCAGTTCTGTGCCCTGCACTTGTTTTCACTTAACTTACTATTTTTTTGAAAAGATTCCTGAAAGAAAAAGTAGACATTTTGGTCCAGTGAAATTAATTCGGTAGCAATTAAATGAGCCAAGCTAATATCTCTTCTTAATGTTTTATAATGCATACTTACCTTATGGTTAAAATATTTTTCAAACTTTAATCTTGCTAATTCTACACATTGGGACCAGTTTCTAGGTCTTCTGCTAAGCAACTTAATAACTTGAAAACAGCCTTCTAAACTGTGTCCAGTTTGTATCTTCTAGAGAGAAAAAAAAAGCAAAATAAATATATTTCCAAGTAAACACACACACACACCCATTCCTAGGAAGTATTAGCCAAAGTTTGAAGTACCAGCTCATGTGATTTATGACTAATTTTTTCACTGTGAGCTCCTTGTCCCTGCCTTTTTCTTCTCCATCTTTCTCTCCTTTTTTGGAGGGGGAATGGGAAAAGACAGTACATGAAATTTCAACTGTAGAGTTTCTCATCTGACAAGTTATCCTTATGTCTTGCTAGTTATTAGTACTACATATGTACCTAACAAAAGAAGTGCTATGAATAATATTTTATACTAAAACGTTGGTCTGTTTAGTGCAGGAATAAAGAAAAGTAAGAAAATACCTTTAAAGTCGCCCTCATCATAAGAGTATTAACACTACCATCCATTCACAAAATTTTCACTAGAATTCACATTGTGTTTTTTTCAAACAGTTTAACAAGTTGTTTTATTACAAAAAGCTATCATTTTTATGACATCTGTTTTAGGTTGAAGCATATGAATTGTTTTGTGGGTCAAACATGGTCAAATAATGGCAATTCCACATAGCTCATACAAACTACAAAAAGGTCATTTGTGACTTGCTAATGTCAAGATTCCTCATGCACTTACTCTGTACAATGATGTTTTTTAAAGAGGTGAAATAAACTATTTGTAGGCAATATGCAAATAAGATTACACTGAGACAGTGTTGAGATTATATTAAAATGTATTGATTTTTACCTGTAAGACTTCTTCTGCAGATGGATAGGTTTGCCAAAATTTGTTAAACAATGAAGGCTTATGGGAAAAGGAACTTTCAAACTTACATGTAAGGGAAAAAAAGAAAAAAAGTTAAAAATTGGATAATCTTCTATTCACTTCAAAGAAAAATTTCTTGAAAAAAAGATCTTTATTACCTTATCTCTTGCCCACTGTATAGTGTGTTCAATAGCAGCTGGAAAGGACTTTAGAGTACAAAATGGTATTTCCTCTTCTGGGGGATCCCGCTAATTTATAAAATATGACAACAGATAGTTAAGAAAGGCAACAACAATTTTTTATTGATTAAATTTACTTATTTTAAGACCATTAAAATTTAAAAAAAAATAATAAAATGAATCCAACATTTTTATATCTTCTTTCTCCTAGGCAATAAGAGGAAAACTGGATTCTTTTGACACTTAATCATTTGTCAATAGCAACGTAACAAAAAACATGAATTCTATTATAACTTATTATCTGTGCACTTATTTGGTACCACATAGTACTTACAGGCAGACCTCCATATATAATTAATTTTTGTCCTCTAAGAATCAGGGTGACATTGAAAACTTTACAATATTCCCCAACATTCCCCACTTTGAAAAGTAATTCAAGAATCCCCGAAAAGGTGCTCAGTATACCATGTGTTTGTTTCTCCATGGAGAAAAAAATTTAGGAGCAGGGATCCTATGTCTTTGATGCTTGGTATAGTTTCTTGCAGAAAGTGTGTATTAAATAAACAGCTAATAAGAAAGAATGAAATCTTGCTGTTTACAACAAGATGGATGAAGCTACAGAGTACTATGCTAAGCGAAATAAGAGAAAGACAAAGACTGTATGATTTTACTCATATGTGGGATTTAAGAAACCAAACAAGCAAAGGGGAAAAAATGAGAGGCAAACCAATAAACAGACTCTTAATTACAGAGAACAAACCGATGGTTACCAGAGGGGGTGGGGTGGGGGGATGGGTAATAGAAGTGATGGGGATTTAGGAGTACACTTGTGATGAGGACTGTTATGGTATTTTTGAATCACTATATTGTACACTTGAAACGAATATTACACTGTATGATAACTAACTGAAATTTAAACGAAAACTTAAAGTAAATAAGATAAAAAATTAAAATTTAAGAAATACTTTCAGGAAAAAAAAAAAAAAAAGAAACGGCAAATGCCTATGTTGTCTCAGGTAAATATACCAATGAAAAAATACCCACATCCTATTACAGGGTACATTTGGTTTAACCACTATAAAATGACACACTTTGTCTCTTTTCACTTAGAGATTTATATTTTAGTTTGTTGAGCTATGAAATATCATAAAATGTTTTATAAACCAAAGAGGGAAGCCAGAAGAGAAACCTGTTTTTTCTGGGTATTCAGCCAGAGAATATAGGAAACGATGTGGAATATAGGGAAAAATGTGGTAGAATGACAGAATCAAGGGAACTTTTAGAATTCTACAGACTTCTCTACTTTGAAAATCTTCCAACATGACCTCATAATTTTCTCCATGTAATTTCCTTCAAATTAAGCTTCTAAATTTTTTCTACTATAATGTTTTTACTATAAACTTTATTTCATAAGAGTAAATGGGAAAACAAATTTTATAAATGTTTAATAATTTTACTAAAGCAAACCTACCTATTAAATACAGTGATTTTACACTTGTTAAAAAAAAAAGAACAAGAACACTATTCTTTCCATTTTACAACCTGCGTTGATCTTTTTTAAAATCCTAAAGCCTACATTTCCTTGGCCAGAGTTTTTCAATTTTGGCAGTATATCAAAATCACTTGCAGAGATTAAATAAAATTATTACTATATCTCTATATATCTCTATCTCTTTATGTATATATGTACTGGCTCCCCTTGTGGAGCAATTGGATCTTCAGTTAAGATTTTGGACAGGTCACCAGTTCAAAGTTTGTGAGAAAAGCAATCATGCACCTCTGAGAAATAAACAGTAAACATAATAATAAGACAGTGGAAAGACAAGAAACAAAATTTGAAAATTTAAAAAGGTTAAGTTCAGCTGTATTTTAAAAAATACACATGCACATATGCATAGAAATTATTGACAGAATGGACACATTAGGAAAGATAAATCAAATCTCTGACTGAAGAGAAAAAAAATGAGATAAGAGACATTTATTGCAAAATTGGTTCACTTACATGACTATTATAGGATTCAGTTAAATGAGGTACGATAACTTCAGTGTGTCCCTTAGTGCCCATTGTTCCAGAATCTAAGAGGGGCCGTAGATTTGCTAAGCAACGGCTATTTGAAAAGATAATAGGTAACGAACATTTAAGTGAGCAATAACAATGTAAGCAGAGGACATCTTACCACTTTCTGTTGGTCATTTCACACACTGATCACTTAGTGAACGTAGTATCTTAGGAAACAGATACATTACCACCAAACAATGCATTTATCATTTCCATACCCCCTCCTTCCACAAATTCTGTTGTCCAATCTGATAATTTCTTCTCTTTCTCTTCTTACTAGATTTTGGGCTTCAACTTCTTTTTACTCTAGGTTAACTCTTTGCTAATGTCTATTTCTTCCTTGGTTATTTTTGGACTATAAGTTCTGTCTTACTATATCTTCTCAGTGTTCTCTTTATCCCAAACAATATTAACCTCTTTTTTTTAAAACTTACAATACCTATTTTCTACACACTTTAATTTCTTAAAGTTTTTATTCTTCTTTCCTCTGCCCAAGACAATAAACTTTAAAAAAAAAATTTTTTTTTAATGTTTATTATTTTTCAGAGAGAGAGAGAGAGAGACCAAGAACAAGCAGGGAAGGGGCAGAGAGAGAGGGAGACACAGAATTGGAAGCAGGCTCCAGGCTCTGAGCTGTCAGCACAGAGCCGGACGTGCGGCTCAAACTCACAGACGCTGAGATCATGACGTGAGCTGTAGTCGGCCGCCCAACTGACTGAGCCACCCAGACAATAAACTTTTAACTACACTCTAGACTGGCAAATTTTCCTCCGTTTAATAAATTTGCTCAACTAGAGCCGTAACATTAAAGAGTCATATAAAGATGTAAGAAAAATTAGTAAGGTGTACACATGATAGTCATTCATTCATCTACTTATTTAACAACTATTTACTGAATGTGTTGGGCATTGATGGGAAGTGTTGGGCAGTGATGGGAAAATAAATGGTCCTTTAATAAATGATTTAGTGAGCTAACAAATATTAATTAAATATATCAATAAAAATAAACACTATAAAGGGGAAAAAACAAATGCTGATTACCATACGGGGATCTACAGAATTGAGTCATTAAAGAAAGTCTCTTTGAATAAAGACATTTAGGCTAAAACTGAAAAGATGTGAAAATAAACCAAAGTAGGCAGATTTGGAGTCAGGAGTTTTAGAACAAGGTAAACAATTTCCTGAGTCTGAACGAGAGTATGTACTCTCACTCTCAAGTGAAAAAGCGTTGGATGCCTTATAAGAACTCAAAGAAGAAATGTGTAGCTGGAATAAGGGGATCCAACAAATAGGTAAATTTTAAGCTGGAGTGATAGGCAGACACTCTACAAAAAACATTTAGGCCGTGTTAAAGATTTTGAATTTTATCCTAGGTATAATGGGAAATCATAAAAAGGATTTGGATTCAAGGAGAACTACAATAGAAATACAAAGAATAATCAGGAAATTGGATAACTTTTCAATAAATAGGTGTGGAAAAGAAGTGATAACAAAAGAAAAGACAATTTTTATGAATCCGTATTTCAAGAACATACCTGTCTACATATCTCCTGGCTTCCACATTATCTAATGCTGTAATAATTATATCTTGTTTAGTATAGAACTCATCATTGTAAATAGCCTCAGTGGCTGGACATACTTTGTTCAAGTGTGCATCTATCTTGAATTGAGGATTTATTTTCAGGGTTGCGTCAGCAGCAGTATAGCTTTTAGGTTTCTAAACAAATAACAAACAAAAACAGAAATAATAAATATTAAACAGAAAAGCTAGGCCATGACAGAACTTACATTTTTTACATGAGAGTAAAGTAATGAGACCAGCTTTCATTTTTGGTTTGTGGACATTGCATTCATTGTACATTGTACATTTAACAATCCATATTAGTCTGAATAATTAACAATTTACTAATGGAAATCTAAACAACCCTCTATTTTATAGCTATTGTTCTTTAGAGTTCTTAAAATATCAGTTATTAAAGGTACAATTCCTTCTAATATGAAGGTTTAAACTAGATATGTGCCTAGAAAAAATAAGAACAGTGAATTCATTGAAATATTAGAAATCCTAACTGCAGAAAATGAGCTCTCAGAGGTATGCAAAGTTAACACACTAGTACTAAAATTTAAAAAATACTACTATTTCTGGATGGAGATATTAAAGAAATAATATACATTTTAGTTTTATAAGAGAGTCCCTTTGACATGTATTTACTTCTCAGTGCTGTCAAGCATGTAGGCAAATTACAAACTTTGTTAGAACTCAGTAAAATAAGAATAAACAGACCTTAACAGTTCTTCTGTAAGTAAAATGCACAAAATAAATGAATTTTGTGACATATATTTTGGTTCCTGATAGACCTTATTTTTTTTTTTTTTGTATTTGGATAGGTGAGGCAATTAGGTTAACTATGCCATCTGTTTTAGTTATTACTTTTCTGTTCATGACATTCCTTAGTTTACCAAGATTATCAATGGGCTATTGAAAAATAAAGTGCAAAAACATTTCTAAAGAAAAAGCAAATATGCCTGACTGCCTAAAGTGTTTCTTTTCTTGACTGAAATATTTTGATCTCTATGAAAAAGACTGAAAACCAGGAATATTTTACAATGAAGAGAATGTTAATTAAATAGTCAAGCAAGATCAAAGAGCAAAAAATTCTAAGCGCTAAACTTTACCTATTTGGTAATAAAGACTCCCCTTCCTTCCAAAAAAGAGTGCCAAATGTGTGATTTAGTAAAACCTTAAATTAGGAAATCTGTCTCTGCAAGCTTAGTTTCTAAGATTACATATGTACATACACCTTGATTATAAAATGAAAAACATACTGCCCATGATTTACAACTTACATCTTATATCCAAAATCAATGCAAAACCCAATTTTTATATTAAAAAATAATTTTATATTTTTCCCCAAATGTCATTCCCATTGTTTGATAATTTGAGAGATTCTAATAAAATAAAAACACATTAGGTTTGCTCAAGTGCAATTTTCTATTTATAAAAAAACAAACTCTCTTTTTTGTGGAACACAATAGATGATTTAAATTTGAAACAGTAGCAACAAACCTGTATGTGGTGAGGACGAAACAGGAACTGTCTATTCAAGTTGGATTTTTCTATCAAGTCAGGATCTGTAACTGTAACCTAGTATCAAGTAAAGAAAAAAGCTGAAATCATGTCAGAGAAAAATTTAAATTGATTTTGCTTTTCTCAGAAAGACTAAAACAATTATGCTAATTATTTTAGGTGGTAGAAATTATAATACAAATATTCCAATGGTTACCAATGCTAATGTTTTTATAGTATATTTAACTATAATTAATGTTTAGCACAGGAACATGTTAAACAAGACAGCTGAAACTGATGGCAATTCATGTTCAAAACTTTTTTCTAATTATTCAAAACAAAATGGAGACTAAAACATCACCATCACATTTTAGAAACATGTAATAGATTAGCCATAGAGGAGTTAAACATATTTCTTCTTTCTAAACATACTTGTTTTCAATTGCAACAAATTTGGAAAAGAATGCTTACATGTTCCAATTTGAAAGGAACTCTTGCTAAAGCAGAGGTCTACAAACTACAGCAGGCAGGCTGCCTGGTTTTGTAAATAAATTTTGTTGAAACACTGTCATGCCACTTGTTTGAAGTATTGTCTATGGCTGTTGTCACACTATAATTGCAGAGCTGAGTAGTTGTGACAGAGACCCTTGGTTCACAAGTCAAGAAGAGCTGCAATCTGGTCCTTTAAGAAAAAGTTTGCAGACATTCCAAGGAATAAGATGAAAAAAAGCAGCTCCAAGATACTCAGAAAAATACTGATAATGCGTTTGTCCCTTAAGTTGGCATTTGTACGAAATTGACTAGAAGCAGTATTTCTCCAGTGTGTTTAAGATGTTAGATGTTGACTGACGTTCACAAACACATTCACTTTCTTTCAACTGGTATTTCCTGAATATATGTTTTTTGGGGGGTTGTTTTCAACATTTCTATACGTGTTAGAGTGTGTCTTTTATTTTTTAAGTTTATTTATTTCTTTTTAGAGTGTGTGCGCAGGCGTGCACAACTGGGGGAAGGGAGGTGGTGTGGGATATAGAGGATCTAAAGCCAGCTCTGTGCTGACAACAGAGTCCCACACGGGGCTTGAACTCATGATCTGTGAGATCATGACCTGAACCAAAGTCAGATACAGTCAGATGCCCAACCAACTGAGCCATCCAGGTGCCCCAGAGTATCTCCTTTAAATAAGAAAAAAAAAAGCACCAAACAGAAAATGTCCTTTAACAATAAGTTTAATCAATATATAATAATTGTGATTATGGATATAAGCCTTTTTTTCCTACCTCCTCCCTGACCCCACTTTTCATCCATTTCCATTTTTTTTTTTTTTTGGCTTAAGTTTCCTTAATTCCAATCCCCTACATTCCTCACTGAATTGGTTCAGAAGTTAAACATTTGTTTCTATGTGGTCACACCCAAAATTTTCACATGCACATGTGACTTAAGATCTAAAATTAATGACAATTTCTGTCTTCCTCCTGAACAATCAGGATATTTGAAATCTCCCTTCCACCTTCCTTATCAATGAACAGCATTTTACTTATTTTGAATCATCCCATCCCCAAAGTCAATATTTTAATTAAAGGTTAAAAAAACCCTCAGTGCTTATTTAAATCTGAGAAGGCTGACAAAGGCTGCCACTACTTACCCTTGCTTTATGCACTGTCCATATTATCTAATAGTTCTTTCAATGAGAATCAATTAAGTGATAACCTTTCATCATTTCACTTGTCAGTTATTTTTACTTCTCTTGAAAGATAATTTAGCTGGGTATAGAAATCTAGGTTACTTTTCCCTTACATTATGAAGATACCCTTTCCTATCTTTAGGTGTGCATTTATTGCTGATGAGAAATCTATACGGTAATCTCTTTTTTTATCTTTGCCTTTGATTTGGTGACCAGTTTACCTTTGCAATCTCAACACAGCTGTTTCTAACTCTGGAAACTTTTGTCATTATCCTTGGAATATATTGCTTCTTCATTATCTTCACTCTTTCTGAAAGTTCTACTATACTTATGTTGGATCATGCAAATGCATCTTCTTTCATTAAAACAAGGTATCTTTCTGCACTACATTCTGGGTGCATATCTTCTATTCATCAATTCTCACTTTAGCTATATATGAATTTTAAGTTCACTGGACTATACAGAAATTCTTACCTGGCTTTTTATAAAACTTAGTGCTTTCCCCCCGCCCCCTGATGTTTCTATTTCTTTTTTCTTTTTTTTCACCTTTGGTCATTTCAAACTTTAACATTTGTTTGTTCTGTTATTATTATCTTTTTAAGTTTATTCATTTTTGAGAGAGAGAGAGAATCTCAAGCAGACTCCACGCTGTCAGCACAGAGCTTGATGCAGGACTCAAACTCACTAACTGTGAGATTGTGACCTGAGCTGAAATCAAGAGCTGGACGCTTAACCAACTGAGCCACCCAGGCACCCCTGTTTGTTCTATTATTTGTAGCACTCCTGTTATCTACAATTCTTAGCTAATCTTCTGTTTTCATTGGCTGATTATTCTTCCAAGTGGTGCCTTTTTTCTAATGGATTGTCATTTTTTTTTATTGTGAATTGTCTTGAATGGATGTTCATTTCTCTGCACAGTTCTATGTACTCTTGGTGTTAAGGTATCACCATGATGCAGTTTTACATTTATTTTAGTCAGAGCTCTGTTGATTTTAATGGTCTTATTTGTTACATTCTTCTCTCTGCTTAAAGTTTTTTTTTTTTTTTTAAGAAATATTTTTTAGAAAACAAGTATCTACTTACACTGAAAGAGAAAGCGTGTGTACATGAGCAGGGGAGGAGCAGAGAGAGAGAGGGAAAGAGAATCCCAAGGAGGCTCAGCGCAGAGCTCATGCGAGACGTGATCTCATGAACCATGACATCATGACTTGAGTCAAAATCAAGAGTCGGATGCTTAACCAACTGAGCCACCCAGGCATGACTCTGCTTGGATAAATTTTTATATAATGTTGGATTCCATATACCAGTGTGGTACGTGCTTTTAGTTAACAGTTTCTCACGAGTTACTTCTCTACTTAATGTTTTGGACATACTCAAGATTGAAACACTTATGAATAATCACAGGTTTAGCTCAGGAATTAATTTCTCTCTTGGTTCCTAGGGACTTCTCTTTCCTTCTTCTTAGTTTGGCTACATCTGTAAACACTTTAAAAAAAAGAGTAATTTATATAGAGAGTCTATGTATTTGCAGTAAGATAGAGATCCGTGCACATTAACTTACTTTTTGTTACCTGAAGTCAGTATGTTTGTTTACTACAATTCTTTTCCTGACCTTTATATGCTGTAATTCTTTTCCTGATCTTTATATGCTGACAGGCATTATGCATTATAAATTTCCAAGGAGTTAAGGTATTCAGGTGATTCCCAAACTTAGGTAAGCAAGATTTTTTTTTTAAAGAAATAGATTTTAAAGAATAGTGGTTTGTGAAACACAACTTAGGAAATGCAAAGCAGGAATAATATCATATGTAAGAACATCTGCCTATAACTGTGATAGTAATAAATGCCCTTTTTAAGTAGAATATTAAGCCAGGCTTTATAAATTATAAAATGTGAGCTAGTATACAAATTTTAGCCATTTCATTATTTACTGTTAGTCACTATGATAAATCACTACTCTGGGAAGCTAGTTTATATCTTAAGGGCAAAACAAAATCAGTGACATATTTTTATTTAAATATAAGACATGGCTACCCAATTAACTCACATTTATCACCTTTAGAATTTAAATTGTACACCGAAGTTTGTATTATTCCCTCTCCTTTTGATAATCACTAATTGAAACTATACCTGAGAACTCTGCCACTTTCTAATGTTAGCTTCTTCTATCTTAAAGATTTATCTAATAATTAATAAGAAATATTAATAGAAATAGTAACAATTCTAATGTGCTTTATGGTTTGCAGAGCCCTTTCACATTTGATCTTCATAATTACATTATGTGCTATGAAGTACATATATCGGTTTCATAGTATTAGAGAAAGAAATTGAGGAACAGAGAATTAAAAATATGTTGCCATAGGGTCACATATCTTTTGAACAGTGGTCAGGCTAAAATCAGAATCTTTCAATTCCTAGCTTAAGTCTTTCTCCTCAGAAATCAGTATTTCAGCTCTATGCAGTCAAATACAGTTAAAAAATGGGCAGCAACAGAAATATAAAAATTTAACTCTCAAGGATTTATATCTTTTGGTATAAATGTTTATTTTTCAAAGAGAGTGGGGGAGGGGCAGAGAGAGAGGGAGACAGAGGATCTGAAGTAGGCTCTGCACTGACAGCAGAGAACCCAATGCAGGGCTCAAACTCAAGAACAGTGAGATCATGACATGAGCTGAAGTTGGACACTGACTGAGCCACCCGGGAGCCCCTCAAGGATTTATGTCTTACCATTCCTTTTTCTTTGCCTGTGCCAACACCAAGTAAAGCAAAATTTTTTAACATTTCACAGCCTATGGCTCCACATCCTACCTATGGAGAAGAAAAATGAAATATAACCGATTAAATAAAACCAAAACTACTAACTAAAGAGAAATTTCATCTTAAACTTACTTCAAATGACAATTTATAATATATACATACTTTTAAAAATAACTTGAACATCTGCGATTCATTTTACTTTAATTAATTTATGATACTATTATAACTGGTACAGTTAAAAATATATAAATCAAGTAAAGAAAAGCATAATATTTACACTTCCTTTAAACAGAAGACACTCCAACAAAAGCTAACAGTTGAGCTCATTATTTCTATGAGATAGAAACAAACACCACAAAATATCAGTGCAGCATTTTAATGAAAAAGATTTTTTATTTACAAATAATTTTCAAAATTCATTTGATGGAGATTTTCTAAGAATTTCTATATGTGTGTAAAAGCTTAGCAACAGTTGCTGACATTCAAAACATTATTTAAAAAATTATTACTAAAAATTAGAATTATTTTTAGAACTGACTATAATTAAAAAACCCATAAATGACAAGAAAAGGAGTTTTTTTTGTATCAGGGAGAGATATCCTGCTAATGCACCAAGACATTTAAGAAAGTCAGATACATTACCTACATCTTCCTTCATGCGGTAAGAAAAAATTTTAAAACATGGAAAAATATCCCAAACCTAATTTTTAATGTATTTCTAGAAAATCATTTAATTTCCAAACTATCATACTCATATTTTAATTTTAAATGTATTGTTTTTATACTAGGCATTGACAAATATTTTTTGTAAAGGGCCAGATAAATATTTTCTGTTTTGTAGGCCATATGGTTTCTGTCATAACTACTCACCTCTGCTATCATAACATGAAAGAAGCCACAAACAATATATAAATGAACGGGCTTGGCAGTGTTCCAATGAAACTTTACTTACAAAAATAGGCAGCAGCAGTACACTGGATTTTTTTTAGACCATATAAATCTTTCACCTTTTACAAAGATAGGCAGCAGGATTTCGCCTGTGGGCCATAATTGGCAAACTCCTGTCTTAAACTTTTACTGAATGTCTACTCTTTAGGAATTGTATTCACTCAAGACTCGAATTTGCTTTAATAAGTTAATTTGATGGTACACAATAGGAGTCTGACTGTGCTACTTATTATTCTCATCATTATTTATACTTACCAAGAAGATATTCAACTTTTGTAGCTTCTGACACAAAGTGTCTCCAATGCAAGCTCGTAGGGCATCATATCTATCTCCTCTGCAGAAAATAATATATATCAAAAACCAGAAAGACATAAAAAAATTGTTTAGTTTCACTACTGTTAATACAAATTTAATGTATATTTTAAATAGGATACACTAGAATTCCTGACAATCTAAAGGAAAATTGTCTTATTTCAAAGAGGAAAAAAACCCATTAAGAAATCAGTTTTTTCTTTTTCCATTTGATTTAATATCCTATGTTCAAATGACTTATGTAAAGGTGACTTCAGTTTATCTAGAAAAGACAGTTTTCCAAGGTAGGAATTTTTAATAAAGGTTCCTAGAGAAGTCTATGGAGGAGCTTTGGAGTTGTTAACACATTTAAATTGAAAGAAGAACTTTGGATTATGTGAATTTGGGGTAGAATGAATCCATAAGCTTTTATTTCTCAGAGGTTTGACTCAAAAAGATGAAGAATGACTGATGTCAATATAAAAGTTGCAGAGAGCATCTATTTTCATCTAAGTTCAGAATGGTATTTTGTTTTGTTTTGACTTTATTTACTTATTTATTTAGAGAGCCCTGACACAGGGATCTATCTCAACAACCACGAGATCATGACCTGAGCCGAAATTAAGAGTAGGACGCTTAACCGACTAAGCCACCCAGATGCTTCCAGAATGGTGTTTTGAATGCTAACTATTATCATGGTATACAATTTAAAACATTATATTCATTATTTATAAAATGGTAAAGAGATATTGCATTCTTTTGACACTTAAAATAACCTCTAAGTAGAGGAAAAAATGACTGTAGAAGTCAATAAGTTACAAGAAAAGACATCTAAGACAAATGCATATTTGAGCACAAACCCTTTTAACCTAGTTACCTCTCACAAACATTCAACTAGGAAAAAAAGAAAGAAAGGGGCACGTGGGTGGCTCAGTTGGTTAAGTGTCTGACTCTTGACTGTGGCTCAGGTCATAATCCCACGATTCGAAAGATCGAACCCTGCTTTGGGCTCTGTGCTGACAGCATGTAACCTGCTAGGGATTCTATCCCTCCCCCTCTCTCTGTCACTCCCTGACTCGCACACTCTCTCTCTCAAAATAAATAAACATAAAAGAGAGAAAGAAAAGATAAAGAAAAAATTCAGAATTACCGTGGGAGAAATTCTTCACGTTCAGGTTTGTCTAGGGATTGGACAATATCTGCTGCTTCAATGTACAACTTTAAAGTAGAAGACAAAAACACAACTTACTATGTATAAACCTTAAATTGCTAGAAAAATTGGTTTTTCTCTTCCATGGTTATTTAATAGTCATTAAGGAAAACAATGATAAAAATGCCAAAACAGATTAATACATTAAAAAATATGATTTTTATACAGTATACATTCCTGTATTATTACTTCATTAAAACAATGGTTAAACCTGAAGGAACTGTTAAAAGATATAATTTGATTCATGTCACTTAGCCATCTTAAAAATGGTATATTCTAATTTCAACAAACAAAAGGAAAATTTCACCTCCAAATCTATACCAGAGGAAATGACCTAGAAAGCCACAGTTTTAGTATTAAAACAAAAACAACAAATTGAAATTAATTAAAAAAAGAATTCACTCTCATTTCCACTTAAGTAACTTATGTGGCTAAATTTCAACTTAGTTAAATGGTTATTTACTTAATTATAACAAGACAGAATCTACATTAGTAACATACTTAACAGTTGTATCTAAACCAGACATTTACAACTGAACTTGTACTCTGTACTAAAATAAATCAAATAATTCAACAGCAAAATGGCATTATATGGATACTTTTTAAAACATAAAAAAAGATAAATGTTATATTCAAAATGTTAAAATGTTTCAAAAGGAAAGGGCCTGAAGGGTATCCTTTGACACCCTCTGCCAATTATTCTTTTCGGTAACAAAAGAATAATTTTTTATTCCTTCTTAAGATGTATTTACCTATATAGTTCTCAAACTTATACCATTCCAATGCTTTTACTTTTAGAGTTTAAACCTAGGAAAGGATTCTGAAGATTTCTGGTGCCTAAAGATTCCATCCAACTGTTTAAAAGTCCTGAGAGTCCTTGAATGCTAAGCTAATCATACTGGAAAACTAAGTATAAGGGTAGAAAATTCATTCCTTCACTCTCACAAATGAGAAAAAAATCAACCCTAGATTACAACTTTGGGTTATATTCCAATAGCCTCAACCAATAATCTTGTCAGTTTCAATTAGAGAGTTAAATTTTGGTGGTGTATCACATCTAACTAATGCATCAAAAATATATTTTGAGGTTACCTTTATAATATATTAATATTTTAATTCATAACATTCACTGCATGGGTGGAAAATTCAATCTCAAGCCTATAAAAATATTGAAATACAAAACTTACCCACTGGCACAAAGGAGAAAACTTTCCTGTCACGGCTTTCAATACTTCTTGGCTAGCAACACCTCCTACTGCTGCAGCAAGTGGGGGTAAAAAACCTTGAGCAGTCCAAGAGAGCCAATGCACAATGTCAGCATTTACTTCCGGCTGAAACACAAGCCATGAAAGATAATAATCTTGGGCGCCTGGGTGGCTCAGTCAGTTAAGCGTCCAAATCTTGATTTTGGGCTCAGGTTGAGCACCACCTACCTCCCCCTCCCCCCGCCCCACCACCTGCCGGCTGAGAGCACAGAGAGCCTACTTGGGATTCTCTCCCTCTCTCTCCGTTCCTCTCCCAATTACACACATACTCTCTTTCAAAATAAGTAAATAAACTTAAAAAAAAAACCCACAAGTTTTTACATATATACTCAACATGTCAATGACTTACTGTGAGAATTATTAAATTACTGTAGCTTAACTTCTAAAAAAGCTACTCAATATTCCTACTAGATTTTAAGTCCTAAAAAAGTTCCAATCTCATAATAAAAGATCCAAGTGCATATTAGTTACCCTAAGCAGTATTTCTCTTTACCAGTAACTGCCCATTTTTGCTTTTTGAATCTATATGTTACACTAGGGCAAAATTTAAGATTAACTGGAACATCTACCATTTATAGCATTTGTTAAAGATCAGTTCTGTGATGTCAGTCAGTATTTATAAACATCTAGAATTTTAAAAAACTGTTCTAATGGAAACTATGGGAAAATCCTGATCCCAAATAAATGAAAATAAAAATAAACTGATCCATAAAAAAATAAGGAGCTTTTAGCTGGAGTCTGAAGTAGTAAAAAAAAAAAAAAAAAAAAAAAAAAAAGAAAAAAGAAAAAAGTAAGAGTCAAAAATAATGAGGCACTAACATTGTTAGAAAAAAAGTGAGAGTAACATGGTAATTTTGCATATTTAAGAGCCAATCATCATAAAGTTCTCATTATCATACTTAAAAACTGAAATGATGGTCCTTGAAATAAGATTTGTTTATTAGCATTTTAAAGGAAATATTGGAGAATTGGATTCTGGAGCTATTGTTTTAGCACAATTTCTTATTTGTGAGAAAGATCTTTTCATGACCTCTGGCTTCTCTTTCTCTTCCTGTTCTTTCAACATTAGTAACCTGAATCTTAACCTTAAGATTCAAATAGGGCTCAACTGCTCTGAAATCCTATGTAAAATAACATTACTTGTGCATTTAGGGGGTAATAGAAGGCTTTTATTACATTCTCAAAGATATTTGTGATACAAAAAGACATTACTATCTACTTACTATTCCACTCACTCCATTTCAGTGTTCTATATCTCATTATTTTTCAACTATTTAGCACTAAACTCAACTCTGATTATAATTTCATTTAAGCTGTGCCCTTTCTGAATGCAGAGATACTGGTGTAGTGATAATATTAAAAATAATGATGAGAATGCAAAGAGAAGCAGGTAATTTGTGTGAGCACCTAGTGTGAGTTGTCTATTAAGTCCACATGTAATTTTCAAAATAATCCTAGGAAATACAATTTTTATCATACAGATTAGAAAACTGAAGTTTGAAAAAGCAATTTCCTTATGATTTTATAGCTAATAAGTGAAACTAGAATCTGAGCCCTAAAAGTCTAACTTACCAGTAGGTTACAATATCTCCCAAGATTCTATTATTTTTTAATTAACAATGAACATAAGGGAATGGAAGCAAAAATAGTATAAAAACAGGGAGGGGGACAAAATATAAGAGACTTAAATATAGAGAACAAACAGAGGGTTGCTGGAGGGGGGATGGGCTAAATGGGTAAGGGCTTAAGGAATCTACTCCTGAAATCATTGTTGCACCATGTGCTAAGTTGGATGTAAATTATAAAAAATAAATAAATTATACAAAATACAATGTCAAAAAAATAAAATATTAGTCCTGCAGAAGTTCTGAATAGGAAAGGATAAATAATGGATACAATGAGCAGAGAAGGATATGGAAAACTTTAAATCTGAACTAAGTGTTGAAGAAAGAATTGCATTAGAATTGAAGTGGAAAGGATTCAGTTCAGGGAAAATGGCAACTCAAAGAAGAAGGAATGTGTGTAAAACTGAAAAAGCTGCAATGAATTTGCACGTTTTATATGAGAGGAAGAAAATAAGATCATATGTTAGAGTATGATTAGATTATGAAGAACACCAAAGACCATGGCTGACTTTGGACATGATAGAAAAAATAAAGGAAGCATTGGATGCTTTTGAGAAGAAAACTCATATGATGAAAGAAGTAGGATAATACAGCAGCAGAGTGGTAGAGAGATGAATAATTTCAATTTAAGTAAGCAGTTCTGGGGCTGATTCAATGAAAAAGTTGTAAGGTATGAGGACCTTAAGCTACAATGAAGGCAGACATAAAGATTAGAAATATTTCCAAAAACTTCTTTACAGCCACAATGATTAAACAGATATAGAGGAGAAAACCCAAAGATGGCCGAATGAGTGGGAGTAGCTCCGAATTTTGAACAAAGATACTCTGACAAATTTTGATACAGACTAGAAAATATGAGGAGTTATTGGAAAAAGAAGGGGAAATATGTTTGTGAGTTCAAATTTGGAAATGTTAAGTTCACTATGAAATAGGAATTTAAAATGGAAAATGTCATTCACTGGACTGAGGTTAACTGAAGAAAATAATATAGATACGAAATATGACAAAGGTACATAGTTTCTAGCATTTATTTAAGTTAAAATATTTTCAACATGTTTCCAGATATTTGCTTGTATTATAACATCCAGAAGCCTATGGAAACCAAGTTTAGAACAGTTAAAATCTATGAACATAGTGAACATTTTTTGCATTGTCAAATTAAGAATTTTTAAGGTAAATATTTAAAAAAAAAAAGAAACACTCAAATCTGGGGAATTTTTGGTTGCCCTAGGATAAATAGCTCAAATCTAAATTTGCCTAAACAATCTCTAAAAACAGATACATATCCAAAAGAAGAGAAATAAACCAGTGGCAGGGTTTCAGGATCACTAGAAAACAGAGTATTATAAACTTCAAATTACCTGTAAATAGAAAAATAAGTACCAAACTCCAACAAAACTACTTCTGGACGTCACAATGCTATAAGCCTTCACAGAGAGCAGGAAGTGTGTAACCACAGAAAAGAGAATGAAAAGAGAACAGTGACAAACCACAGTGAAAATCATCCTGAGAAAACAGAAGCCCTAGCACTAAGTGCAAAAACTACTGAACACGTATGTAATCTGGCAGATCTCAGCACTGCCTATGGCGAAAGAACTTCAGTGGGAGGCAATGATGTAAATAGAAAAAGGGCGACATTCTTTGACGCAGAAGGCTAAATTAAGAAGAGAGGAAATTAACGATTTGGCAGAAATCAAAGAGATCTACAAGACACCAATACCTAACCACCAAAAACAAACAAACCCAACCATTAAAGAAACCCCTTTCTAGTATCCTAAGGGAACAAGGAGTTTTAGAAGTACAAATCTGAAAAAAAGCACCCAAAACTCTTATCCTGCCCCCAAAATAGACAAAAAACAGTTTACTATACAAAAGTAATGTAAGAAGTAAACAGAAAAATAGAATCAAAACATTTCAGCCAATGAAAATTTCTCCTCCAAACTAATTATAAGGCAGTGGAAATCTGATTGAGTGAATTATATCCTTAAAGAACACTTGAGAGATGTGGGAAAACAAACAAAAAAACCTCACCTCCAATCAGAAATTCAACTAAATACTAAAGGAATCCATTCCACCACCAATCCTCTCCCCGCAAAAGGAAAAAAATAAAAGAAAATCTGAATCTATGTATTAAAATGGGCTCATAATATGGGAAAAATGGACTGAATGATCAACTCTGAGATACAATCAGTTAAAATTATACACTTTACAGGTGAAAAAAACATACAAAACTACAAGGCAAAAAGGCTAGACTTACTTATAAGAGTAAAAAATTAAGGTGGCATCATTATTTCTTAACAGTAAGATACCACTAAAGAAAGTAAGGCCTAGAATGTTATATTCAGCCAAGTTGCCTTTCAAGTATGGAGGCTACCAAAAATATTTAAAACATGTAAGAACTCAGAAAAAAACGTAACTCTGAGCTCCTTTGGAGAAATATACTAGAGACCAAACTTGATTTCAAGAGTTACCACAGAGCTACAATAATCAAGATAGGATGATATTAGCAAAAAACAATGGGAAGACAGAAACAACCAATGGAAGATAAAACATTGAGTTCAGAAACAGCCCTACACATATGTGGTCAATAAGTTATTGACAAAGAATACCCAGAATATAGAATAAGGAAAGAATTATCTTTTCAATAAATGGGCTAGAATTACTGGATATTCTACATACCAAAAAATTAATCTTGATCTATACATGGCAAAGTATGAAAAAATGAACTCACAAAAGTATAAAACTGTGTCCAATGAATTAAAAATGTACAGTTGTGTACACTTGACCTACACTTGTATACTTTGCATGGCATACAAAAATGAAGTCACAAAACTATAAAAATTCTGGAAGAAAACACAGGACAGAGCTGTGACCTTAGATTTAAAAGAAGGTATAAAACACATACCAAAAAAATGATACACTGAAGTTTATCAAAATTAAAAGCTTCTGCTCCTTAAAGACACTGTAATAAAATGAAAAGATGAGCCATGGACTAGAAGAGAATATTTGCAAAACATGTATCCTATGAAGGATTGATATCCAGAATATATAAAGAACTCAATCAATTAGAAAACCTACCTAATTAAAAAACAAAGATTTAAAAGGACAGTTTATTAAAGAAGAGATATGAGTGGCAAATAAGCAAATGAAAAGATACCAAATTCATAATGATCAATGAAATGGAAATTAAAACCAAAACAAGATATACACACACACTTAAATGCACACGCTTTAAAATGGCTAAAGTCAAACAAATAGATAATACACCATTATAGAGAGAATACAGAGCAATTCAAAATCTCATACATTTCTGGTGGAAATGCAAAATGGTATAGCTACTCTGCAAAACAATTTGGCAGTCTGTTATAAAACTAAACCTGTATCTATCATCTGTCTCTGTAATACACCACTACGTGTTTACCCAAGAAAAATAAAAACATATGTCCACACCAAAATCTGTATGCATATGTTTGTAGGGGCTTTATTCATAATTGCCCACATTGGAAACCCAAATGTCCAGCTGGTACAGGGAAAAAAAAACTGTGGTACACTTATATAATGGGCTACTTACTCAACCAATAAATAGGAATGAACATGCAACATGGATTAAACTCAAGTTCATTATAATTAGTAAAAAAAAATCCAGACTCAAAAGGCTACATATTGCATGATTCCATTTACATGACATTCTAAAAAAAAGGCAAAAATATTCTGGTTGCCATGGTTTGGCTGGGGGAGAGGGAGATGATTATAAAGAGGCATGAGGAAATTTTCTGGCCTTATGGAAATGTTTTACATCTTGATTATCGTGGTAGATATATGACTATACACTTTAATGGTGCACAGCTCAATTGTCTACAAATTTTTGTATAACTGTACATCTAAAAAGGGTGAAATTTTCTATATCTAAGTTTTATCTCAATAAATCTGATAAATCCCTAATCATATCATTCCTTGTAATCACAGACTTCATCAATCTATTTCTAGCTTTTCACACTTTTCTGTAACCACTAAATACGCATACATAAAAGGTCTTTAACTTGTGGTTAATGACTCACTGTTTTCAGTTCATTTGTTATTTCCTTTGTTTTAATCACATAAAATATGAGATCATATTATTCTTAACCACTAATGTTAAGACTTTACACTTCCCCCTCATTTTTATACCATAACAAAAACTATAAAATTTTCAACTAAGTGCACAAACACTGCTAACGTTATCTGCTAAAATGAAACTAGTGGCCAGCAAGCACTGGCACCATGACATGAAAAAATTGTTTTCTAGGTGATATGTCCAAATATGATATGCAAAATGCAATTAAGAGATATGAATATATAATGGAAAAAGATGATTTATAGGAAAACTTACAGCTATACAGTGAGTTTCAGTGGGTTAACAAAGTAAATCAGAAGAGATAATACTAATACTAAAAATATAGCAGGAGCAGAAAATAGTAATTACTATATGCCATATACTCAGATTCTAAGCGCTTCACAAAATTAAATCATTTAATGTTCACAGTAACACTCAGAGACAGGATAACCCTGTTTTATAGATTTATAAACTAAAGCAGAACAAATTTAAGTAACTTGCCTACTGTCACAGAGTCAATAAGCAGCAAAGCTGGGATCTGAAAGGTAAGAGAATATTAATATATAGAATGTTTATCATGTTACACCTTTTTTGATGGTCCTAACTTTGAATACTCACCTTCTCTTCTAGGGTTTCACTTATAGACGTTGCTAGTTTCAAGAGTTCTTCTGAATCTTGCTGGCACCTAGGATTCAACATGAAGCACCCCACTTTCAATATTCTTAATTGCCATAAACAGTAAGTCATATTCAAAACTAAAATTTAAGAAATCTGTAAGAAAAAAAGTGGAATTTTGCCAGCAGGTAGCATGAAGTGCTTCCCTGACTTGAAGGTAATGGACTCATAAATACATTAATTAAAAATCACGTTTACCTAAGGATAGTATATAAATAGGATAATGGTTTTAAATAGACAAGGCAAATACTTTTTGCAACAGTACTTCTGACTTAATAGACCAGAAAGTAAAAAGTTACATAGTGGATTCATAATTCAGTAATTCTCAGATTTTTTATTTCAAAAAGTTTAAAAAGTAGCTTTTGAAGATTTCAAAATGGAAAAATTCTTACTGAGCATAATTCCATGTTTAGGAATTGATCTCTCCACTCCCACCAGAAAAAAGACCAGGTCATAATAAATGTTTATAGAGTTCAGTGTATCTAGTAGTGTTGCAACTATGAAGGGCTTTAGTTACTAAACTTTAGTTTCTAAACTAAAACATTTAGTTTAAATGTTTTAAATTATAATTTCCCAAATACTGCTTTTATAATAAGGAAAAAAATATTTCAAATGAAGAACATTACCCAATATTTGGCTTGCGACTATAGCTCTCCTGGAACTGGTCCAAGGCAAGCATAGCTGTGTGAATCTGTAAAGGTGCCTATTTGGAACATTAAAAATTGTTCAACAGTTGAGTTCATAATATATGACAGGCACTGTGCTTAACACTTTAAAAATTATTTAATTCTTATAATAAATTAATTAGATTAATACTATTATTATCTGTATTTAACACATGAGGAATCTAAGCCTTAGAGAAGTTAAACAACTTGACTTCAAGGCCATAAAGCTATATTTAAGCAACAGATCCAAGTTTCAATCTCCGGTGATATAACCAGTTTTTAGTAGGTTATTCCTATGAAAGTCAGAGCAATATCAACTAAACAACACCAACAAGACATTTGTATAAGATCAAAATCACCTAATCCTTCTTCATCAAGTTATAAATTTGGAAACTGTTAATACTATTCTTTCCTTATCACAAATGCATTCACTGCTACAAAATTATATTCAGTGATTTAAAACAAAAGAATAAATGCTTCCAAGGTTTTTTAGGAAGAAACATGTATCATATAAAACTCTATATGGTTCAGAAAATCTTTTAGTAAGATTTTGTACAAATTATTGAAATAGTTTTTCAATTATCAAAGCTAACATATTATAAAAGTAAAATGTTTTTCTATTCTTAAAATTTTTCCATGATATAAATCCCTGTTTTTAATTCTTGGGAGTCAACTCTAGATATATGAATACAACCTTTATTAAAAAAACCTGACAGAAAGGTACCAATTCCCATGCCCTCTCTGCTGCCTCTCTCAAACCTACAAAGTGTTCATTTACCTCAGGTTTGCCAAAATCCACAATAAGGCACTTTGGATGTTTTATCTGCCTCTCCAATGGTTCCTTAATAGAAACAAAAACTATTACTTCAGAAACAAAAACTATTACTTCAAGCAAGTGATTACTTGACAAAAAATATAGAGCACTAAAAGCAATGCATCTCTCTTAAGGTCTAAAATAAATAAGGTTGGGCTAATTTGATTTAATAGAAATATAAAAGAGCTACCATTCCCCATTGTCTTCTTGCTAGATTTAATTTTTAATTCCACTTAATTCCACTTAAAGTGGAATAACTGACTAATAAAACAAAATATATACAGTTTCAGTGCTTGTTAAATCTTTCAAATATATATTAGCTTCATCTTTTATCTTACTCAGGGAGTAAGAAGTATGATCAACTCTTTGATGATTCACAAAAGTATAGATCCTCTGAAGTAAACAACTTCTATACTTATATGCACTGGTATTCTAGCTATAATTTTTTTGTTGTTATTAGTTTATTTCCTTAAATTGATCCCACTTCCCTCAAAGTGGGTACAAATTAAAAATCAAAATCTGTTCAGCCCTTAAATTAACTGTTTGGTTAACTGAGTATTATTACTTTTTTCTCTTCTGCCATTCTTCCGCAAAGAAATATATTTTAAGCAAAAAAAACCCAAAAACTAAAACATACTTACAAAGCAAAATGTTTTAGGAGTCTTAACTTGGACAGCTATGCCTCCATGTAAATAAGGATCCAGTTCTGTAGTATCACCAATGCTAAAAGAAAATGGTGATACCACTAAAAGAAAAATAAGAAAACCATTACATGCTGATATAAGTATTTAAACTTGAAGATTTATCATGATAAAGATGGTAATTTTCCCTAATTTATAAAATTAGAAGATCCCACTATAAATTTTTTTGGAGGTGGGAGGAAGTGTGGAAAACTAGATAGATTATTTTTCCAGTGTGAACTGAAGGACTTAAAAATTACCAAGAAAACTCAGAGGGCGATAATCATAATGAGATGCTTATTGCTAGATATTAGAATATTTTATAAGGCATTAATAATATGTTGACACTAATTACAGGCAATTAATACTAAATATAATGTGGTACTTGTTAATGAACAGGCAGACAAATGGAACACTTTGTTTGTAGCCTCAAGATTCTGAACTATCACAATCCCCCACTGCATAGATAACGAATGATAAATCCTAAGTGATTTAACAAATAACAAATGATAACAAATACAATAACAACAAATGATAATCCTAAAGGATTAATTTTTACAAAAACAGATACAAATTCTTTAATATTAATGATGTAACCTGTATTTTACATATCTGGATATAGTCTGGGAAACAAAATCCAGTAATTTTGTAATCAAAGATGCTTAACCAACTATAGATCCAAAGTTATTATGAAGAATTCATAATAGGGACTGATTTTTGTCTCTCCTAAGGATCCATTTTATAGTCATTACAAGAAAAAAAAAAAGTAATCCATTTGCTAGTCTACACACTCATCACATAATTAGACTTTCAAATGTCCTAAAGATAAACCTGAACCTTCTTGGCTAACAAGTGTAAATATGCCATCTTTGAGTTATAGGATGTCTAGCACTGTCTTTGACTCTTAAACATGGCTGGAGAAAAATCACAAATTATGCAGACTAACACTGCTATAAATTCACTATCTTCAACTTCAAATGGGCACTAAATTAAACCTGATAGTCTATTTTTTAAAATGTTTAACTCTCCTTAAATCTATGACTTTGGCACTTTTGCTCTCCTTTGGGCAACGATCTCATCTTAGTCTACAAAAAAAATAAATAAATAAAAATCAAATTCCTTCAACTTTTTGCCAGCAAACCCACAAACTTGCCTGCAATAACATCCACTCATTCCTTTTATACAAGCCACTAACAAAAACATGTCTCCACCTGAATACTTCATTGCCACCTTACTCAACGAACCTAAACTGTACTCATCATCTTCTCTCCAAAACCTGCACTCCTTAAGTGAATAAGTTGCCCATGTTGGATTCTTTGCTTACCTACAATATGAGATTATCAAATTTCCTCTTAAATGTCTTAAGACTTTTGCCATATCAACTCCCACTGCCAGCCCTGCCATATTGTATCTTTTAGTTTCTTGAACAAACTGCCTCTTACTGTTGGTCTCTGCATAGAATATTCTTTTCATCATTTTCCTAAGCCAAAGCAATCTTCAAATTTTAATCAAGATACTTGTCCCCACTGCTGCTGTACCCAAACCGGGTAGACTTCCTTGCCATGTTTAGAGTTCCCAGAAATGCCTGTACTGTCTTTACACTCTCTTTACATCACTGCTTAATGTTAACACGTCCTACTTGGATTGAATGTTTTGAGGCCAAGAATTAGATCATGTTTGTCTAAGCTGATGAAGTGTTCTCAACACTGAATATACTGTCTAAACTATTAATGTGTTGAATAATGAATAAGTATAAATGAATTAATAAAACACAGGAACTTACCAGTTATTTGTTGTGTCGATCCATTTAACCCTGTCATTCCATTAATTTCTCGAAACATTAAAAACTGTCCTGTCTCAAGTTTGTGAGGATGATTTTCAAGGCAGGTGACAATACCAGGATTACCCTAAATAAGAGAATTCTACTAAAAAAACAAGTTCATGTATTCCTTTTCTGCACACATTTCAAATCTCACACAAAATGGACCAGGTTATCATAAAATTCTCAAAACAATCAAAATGCCAAGTCATTCCTTTTCTTCCTTAGTAAAAGCAAGCGTTTTAAGAATTATTGCAAAATAATGATCAATTTACTATTTTATTATGAATGTTTAAAATATAATTTCTGTGTTTGGGGGAGAAGGAGATTCTACATGGAAGTTCAAATATTTTATAGATACAGATTCTTTGGACTTATAAAAAATATTCAAAGTTATCAAATATAAGTTTTAAAGTCATGTTATAAAAAAATCTGTGCATAAAAGACAAGTCTAACTTTGAAGATGAAAGAAATGCAAGAAAGGACAGAGATTTAAATTTTTTTTTTTAATTTTATTTTTAGAGAGAGACAGAGAGAGCGAGAAAGTTAGTGCTCAAGTGGCTGAGGGGGCAGAGGCAAGAGATAGAATCTCAAGAAGTCTCCACACTCAGTGAGGGGCCTGACACAGGGCTCACAATCCCACGACTGTGAGATCATGATTTGAGCCAAAATCAAGGGTTGTACGCTCAACTGACTTAGCCATCCAGGTGTCCCAAGAAGGATGGAGATTTAAAGCCAGAAAACTGGTAATTTAAAATTTGCTGCCCAACATGTTAAAGGATAAAAAAATATTGTGTAGCTCAGCTTACCAGGACAAAAATAGGAAGAAACTGACCTATTCACCAAAGAGGATGGATGAGATAGGTCCAAGGCCCAGAAATTTGCTTATTAATGCACATAATCCAACACACTGGTTGAGTAAGGTGGTAATAATTTAATCTACATAAAACCTAAAGAGAATTATCATCCTTTCTTTCTTAACTGTGAAGATTCTGAAAATTGTCCTGTGGCTTAATGATCTGGGTAAGAATTATGATTATGATCACAAACATGTATATAAAATTAACATAATGTGGGTTTACTAACATCTCAAGAGGAATAAAATTCATAAGGACTTTATTAAAAAAGAGAAATACTTTTGCATATAAGTTAAATGGGAACATTTATGGTACTTTGTAATTCTTTGTGGATAACCTTCATACTGCCTACACTATTTAAGAAAAGAAAATACCAATGCAATACAAGATTCCAACTATTTCCTGGAGACTATTCTATTCTAACTGTATGATGTTCACAGGACGAACTAAAAACAAGCACAAAGATTAAAGGTTGAATAATAAATCATTCTGTAAGCACAGAGACACAGAATGATTTTTTTAATGCATTTCTCTTAAAAAGGGGTGAAAAGGCAACATTACACTGGGCTTAAAAATCAAGCATAAATATAGAAACACAAATACTATTATCATTCCCTTACATTTGGTTTCTTTGATCTTTAATGTAAACTGATTAGAAAGAATGCAAGTAAAAGTAATGATTCAGACTTAAAAAACTAGGAAAACTGGATCACAATGATATCTCCAATTCTTTTAGGGAATAAAAAACTTAAGCTTACCTGAAGAGAACGTGAAAGTTCAGACTTTTTGATCTAAGGGTAATTAATTCTAATACTTTTTTTCCTTCTCCAAATGTTTTAGAAATATAAAAAATTTAGAAAAGCTTTTGTCTATAGTGACCTAACTGTGTATCCTCCCCACAGTCTTGTGTTGGGCCAGGTGACTTAAGACATACTTACTACATCTACAATCTGACACAATACACACAGTTTAGTAAACACTGAATCACCCTTCATGCCCAATAGGAACACGACATAGAACAAAATTAAAATTTATCACAAGCAAATGTTGATCTATTGATTATTAATGTTAGAAGGAATTCAGACACTCATATTCTAACTTAAATTTAGTTTTAATATAATATGATCAAGAAATTAACAAAACATTCCCTCATGAATTACCTTAAAATATTATAAAACAAATGAAAAATATTGCATATTACAGTATTTTGCTATTGTCACCTTTAAAAAATGTATTCACATCGGGGTGCCTGCGTGGCTCAGTCAGTTAAGCATCCAAATTTGGCTCAGGTCATGATCTCACGATTTGTAAGTTAGAGCCCTGAGTCGGGCTCTGTGCTGACAGCTCAGAGCCTGGAGCTTGTTTCGGATTCTGTGTCTCCCTCCCTCTGCCCCTACCCCACTCAACGCTCTGTCTCTCCCACTCTCAAAAATAATAAACATTAAAAAAAAATTTTAAAAAACAAACTAAAAAAAAAAATGTATTCACATCAACCTTAAAAAAAATTCATATACATATACAATAATATATATATATAATCATACTTGCGTTATATTTGAAATGAAAATTTCTTTTGGCTCTTCTCCTGTTGCATCTGAAACTTCAAATTCATCACCAAAATCACAAAACAACCGTGACCAAATTCCATGTACATCTGCACTGATAAACTGTGAAATGATGAAAAGAAGTTCAAGCTTATCTATTTATATAAAGAAAAAAACCCCACCTCAAGTATTTTAAGCCTCTTCATGACTTTATTTATAATTAAGATTATCCTTTGGGATATAAAGTGAATCACAAACAGAATACATTATTTGTGAAGTGGTTCAAGAATCAAGGATATTGGTATTTGAGACTGGGTATCTAGTGCTATATAATTAAAAAATGCAGCACGTCATCATTGTACATTCTATGATTTTTAAATAACAGAAATTCTTTCCTTGCCCTAAAAATCCAACAAAGTACATAAGAAACTGGTATCTTTTGATAAGAGCTAAATTATGAAAAAAGCCCAAATGTTCATTAATTGATGAATGGATAAAAAAGATGTAGGATATATACACAATGGAATATTACTCAGTGATCAAAAAGAATAAAATATTGCCATTTGCAACAATGTGGATGGAACTAGCAAGTACTATGCTAAGTGAAATAAGTCAGTCAGAGAAAGACAAATATATGATTTCGCTCCTGTGGAATTTAAGAAACAAAACAGATGAACATAGCAGAAGGGAAGGAAAAATAAAAACAGGGAGGGAGGCAAACCATAAGAGATTCTTAAATATACAGAACTACGGGTTGCTAAATGGGTGACTGGCAATAAGGAGGGCACTTGTTGGGAGGAGCACTGGGTGTTATATATAAGTGATAATTCACTAAATTCTACTCCTGAAACCATTACTACACTATATGTTAACTTGGATTTAAATTAAAAAAAAAATTTAAGTAAATTGTACCTATAAGTATTTGAGGTTTGCATGCTGTAGTTTGTTTTTATTAAAAATTACTAATTGAAAAAACAGAATAGACAACTGCACATAAATATAATACTAATGTGGCAAAAAAATAAAAAAGGTACACACGTCTTTATAGAATTATAGAGGATATATACAGTACAATGTTAACAGCTGTTACCTCTGGTGATGGGCTTAAAGGTAAATTTTTCATTATACTTTTCTAAATTCTCTTAGTGAATTTGTATATATATTTATATTCAGATGAAAACTAAGTAGTATTAAAAATTTTGGAATTGTATAAAATCCACTATCTTAGAATTAGAAACTTTGGTAAGCTTTGGTTGAACAACAATAAAAAACCTTCAGTTAGGTTTTGCAGGCACACCTGAGAGATATTGCAGGTTCATTTCTACATCACTTCAATAAAACAAATATTGTCAAAAAAAAAAAAGAAAGAAAGAAAGAAAGAAAGAAAGAAAGAAAGAAACCAGTATCTTGGTTCAATGGTTTGAGCAGTGAATTTTTACTTTTCATTTGAGAAAAAAGAAGTATCCATTCACCAGTAGTAGAGTTAATGGAAAAGAGAACAGAGCTAAAAGTTGAAAATGGAGGCAACAAATAGAAAAAGAGCTGAGGAACTGACAGTATGCATCAAAGCAAGGAAGGTAAAACTCAGATTCTTTTTTTTTTTTTTTTTTAATGTTTATTTATTTATTGGTGTGGGGAGGGTTGGGAAGGGGCAGAGAAAGAGGGAGACAGAGGATCTCAAGCAAGCTCTGGGCTCAAATTCAAGAATCTCGAGATCATGACCTAAGCCGAAGTCGGCTGCCTAACTGATTGGGCCACCCAGGTGCCCCAAAAATCATATTCTTAACCACAATCATTAATGCTTTATTAAAAGTGATTTTTGTAATACATATGCTCCATTCTAAGAATCTCTAAAGAAAATATTTTTGTGTCTAATTTCATTTTGAGTTAACAGTAAAGAATTCTTATTCTATAACACATATGATCCTGTGTAAAGTGATACTTAAAAAAAATTTTTTTTAACGTTTACTTATTTTTGAGAAAGTCAGAGAGACAGAGTGCGAGCGGGGGAGGGGCAGAGAGAGAGGGAG